GGGGGCCCCTCCCCCAGGAGGCCTGCGTGGGAAGAGATTCTGGAGAATGCCCCTTCCTAAAGGGACCCATGGGCATTTTGCAGGGCAGTAAGCAAGACAGATGCCCCTCCCCTCACTTCCGCCCCCTGCCCCCTGCCCATCATCACCTCCACAGTGTGCTTTTGATGGTGCTGTTCCCTCGGCCTGGGGACACTTTTCTCCTCTCAGATCCTTCAGAACAGTGTGCGGGTGACCACATCAGTCCTGTTGTTGTGTAAGGAGCCACCCCAAACCTCGGTGGCTTGAATCAGCAATAAATAAATAAATAAAAGAGAAGCTTACTATTTCAGTCTCTGTGGCCTGGGATTGCAGGGCGGGGGTGGCTCAGACTCGAGGGGGCTTGTGAGTTTGCCATCGAGAAGTCTGGCTGGGCCCCCGACGCCACCCCAGGACTGGACGTGGCTGAGGGTGTGCCCAGCATGGCTGTCTGAAGGGGCCAGCAAGCGGGGCTGGCTCTTGGTTGGGGGCCTCAGTTCCTTGTCACATTGGACGGCTCCACAGGACTGCCTGGGTGGCCTCAGGAATGGCAGCTGCCGCCCAAGACAGGGGCCACGGTGTCTTTCAGAAGTCACCCACTGTCGCGTCTGCAGTTTCCTGTTGTCACACAGGTCCCCCTGCTCACAGTGGGAAGGCTCCACACGGGATGTGGACCCCAGGAGCCAGGGCCGTCTGGAGGCCAGGAGGTCTGAGATGGGTTGTCTGGTCACCTAGTCCTGCGTGCAGATTAGCCAGGGGAGGGCAGCAGTGGGGTGGGGCCAGAGCAGGCGACGCGGTTCCACTAGATCCTGTGGTTCTGGCGTCTGTGTTCTCCGTAGCCCACGAGGCAAGGGAAATGCCAGACCTAATGAGGACAAAGGGTGCACGCAGAGTTCCTCATGAGGCTGGACAAGAGAAGAGGGTGCCCAGCAATGGGGCCCAGTGTCCCTGTGAGGGCCTGAGCCACACTCTGGGGAGTAGTATCCAGATGGATGCCCTCAGACCCAAAGGTCCCACAGTGGAAGGGGACCCAGAAGATCCCACTGGGGGGCTGGCGGCTACCTGCCTACTGGCCCAGGGCTGAGGTTACTGGGCGGTCAGGTTTGCTAGGCCACCACCCTGCCAGTCAGGGTAAAGCAGCCCAGGAATGTGCCCCAGGACATCAGGGGGACTCCTGTCCCCCTGCTGATACATCTGGTACCTCCACTAAGACCTGAGCAATCCTGTGTCTGACCCAGGTCTGTGCCCTGGGTGCCCCGACCCCCACCAGGCCACAAACAGGGTGCTGGGGTGAGCTTCCCACCCAAGGGTGCGAGGGTCAGACGGTGGGTGTCCCCACCCCACCCCAGCAGGTCCAACAGAGGTGGGGTCTTCAGGGCATGGACAGCCCCGCGGCGGACCACCTCCCCAGCCCTTGGAGCCAGCGGTCCCCTGAGACACCCCAGGAGGCGCTAGATGGGGTGGAGGGGGCGGGGCTCTCCGCAGCGACCTGACGAGCTGCCCAGCAGACAGGGCCTCCGCGCCCTGCACCATTGGGCGTCTGCCATTTGGGCATCTGCCATCTGGGCCCGGGCACCCTTCTGCAGAGTTCCAAAATCCCTCCATCCTGGGATCCTGCTGCCACAGCAGGGGTGGCGTGAGTCCCGGAGGCTCGGCGGCCCTGCCTCGAGGTGAGCCTGGCAGCCGGTTATTAAACCATCCATCTAGCTCTGCCTGGGGACGCCGGGGATGGGGCTCGCCGGCTTCTGCGCCCTGGTCTGGAACTGGGTCAGCCGGAGGCCCCTGGGAGCTGGAGGTCAGCGACCAGGCTTGTCACTGCGACCTGCTGCGGGCTCCGAGGCTCCGGAGGCTGCAGACTGGAAAGGCGCTGACTGGCTGGTTTCTTCATGTTCTTTCTCTGCTCAAAAACTTCCAGGCTCTGAGTCCACAGGGTGAAGCGCCCCCCCTCAGCCTGGCATCTGGAGTTGTCTGCAATCTGGCCAGAGTCTACCTAGAATCACAATAATAGCTCAAAATGGGGCATTTACTCTCTTTCAGGCTCAACGCCAAGGGCTCCACATGAATTAGTCTCAGGGAACAATGACAACCATCCTACGAGGCACTGATCCTTTTAGTTCCCATTTTATTGATGAGGCTCAGAGTTGCTAAGCAATTTGACCAAGATCACACAGCGAGGAAAGAGCAACGGTTCACCCAGGCTTTCCTGCTGACGCAGCCACACCATGACCACGGGGCTCTCAGTGTTTTAGGTGAGTCTCCTTCTCTTTTTTTAATTTTTTTTTTTTTAGTTGTTGATAGACTTTTGTTTTATTTATTTTTACGTGCTGAGAATCGAACCCAGTGCCTCACACATGCCAGGCAAGTGCGCTACCGCTGAGCCCCAGCCCTAGCCCGTGAGTCTCATTCTTAAGCCACTATGGCCTGTCACTTCCCAGAAGGGTTCTCTCTGTCTAGAATCTGCATGTCTGAAGGTCGCTCTAGGTAGGGGACCCCAGCTCATGGTGAAGGAGGGTTGATGGCTGTTACCAAGTTACTCAGGCCTAAAATCCCAATGTCCCTGGATGCCAACTGGGCTACCACAAATCTGATCCATCAGTACCTCCTGTCATCTCTGCCCCCAAACCACACCTTAAACCCTCCCTCTCCCTCCGTCCCCCACTGGGGTAAGGCGGGGTCTCCCCTATGGTGGGCATGTCAAAAATACCTGCTAAATAAAACCATGAAGTGTGAGCCGGGGAAGAGTCACCAACAGAGGAGGAAAGGTGTGGGAGGGAGGAAGGGGCCAGGGTGGGCACTGGGCACACCTAACCAGGTCTCGCCCCACCCAGAGCCAGGTGAGTCCTGCTGCAGGGTGCAGGTGTCCCATTACCTCTCCTTCAGGTACAGTGGCTGTAGTGTCCTTCCTTCACCCTCTGGATGCCCTAGGGGCATCTGTCCCTTTCTGGCCCCCAGCCCAGACCTGAGATTAAAGAGCAACCCCCATCCTCACCCCCTGGCCCCTTGGGTTGTGCTGAGCACGGCTTCAACCCCAGCTTCCCTGAAGCCTCCCTGTCTCCCCACGTCGCCTGCTTCCTGCCTGCCCTCATGCAGGACCACGGGCCTCAGGGCACCCTCAGACCAGCCCAAGCAGACCCCAGGTGTGCCGACTCCCCAGCGGCACCTGGAGGTGCCAGAGTTGCCAATTTTCTGCCAATGGCCAAGTTCTCCACGCCTTCCCCAGAGCCCAGCCCTGTCCCTGCTGGGAACTCAGGAGGAGGAAGCCTGGAGATGGGGACTCAATGCAGACCCCGCCAGTGGCCGAGGGAAGGCCAGGAGGGGGACAAGACCAGGGTCAGTGTCACAGCCAAGTGGGCTGGAGCTCAGAAGAGCCCTGCCCTCCTTGGAGAGGCTCACACTGTCCCTCATCATTCACGGGGTGCCAGGTTATGTCCTGGGGTGCCCATCCTCAAACACCATCGAGGAAGTTATCACTTGGGACTCACTGGGTGTGACAAGGAAAGCTGGGGCCTGGCCCTTGGACTGGAAAGGAAGGAGGGAGGGCAGGCGTGACCGGGCCAGAGCAATCCAGGAAGGCTCCCCGGAGGAGGGGGACAACTCCAGTGACCCTCAGGAGAGCAGCTGGCTGTGAGGGCTGTCCCAGGAGACAGGGGGGTGGAGTCCCACAGCCTGGGTTCAAATCCTAGCGTCTCTGCTTCCTGACTGGGTGGTGGGGACAGGTGACGGCTTCCCTCCTCCCCCGCTTTGCCTGGCCCTGCTCAGCGCTGCGTCCTGAGCCAGCGGCTGACCCCAGCCTGGACCAGCTCCAGGCCCAGTGAAGCCCCTCCCTCCAAAAGCACTAAGAAGCTCAAGAGCATTAAATCAGGAGTGGGGTCCCCTTCCAGGTGGAGGTCCCCGGCCACCACCTGGGTCACAAACCCTACAGCTCGCCCTGGCCCAGCCTCAGTGACCACTGCCCCGTGTTCTGGCTGCTAATGTCCTCTACACTGCTTGGCCCCCACCACCCTCTGCCCCTGCTGCTCGGCCACCGTGGGCAGGAGTGATGGCTCCCACGTGGCTTCCCTTGGCTCAGCCTGGCTGGCAGGTGGTCTGAGATGGGCTCCAAGGTGCCACCTACAGTTAGACTTCAGGTCCTTTGTTTTTATGGCTGTAATAATATCTTTTCCCAGGAAGCTCCTGAGCACTGTGACCCAGGATGCCAGGAACCGGGGGTCCACGTCCCCTACAGGCTCCCACAGTCCCCGGGGTCCCCAGGCAGCTGGTGGGCTTTACACTTGGGGGGATGGATGCTACAATTTTATCCACTGACATTTTGCAAATTTGAAACAGGGGATGAGCTTGGCTCAGCCCCTGAAGGGCTCCTGTCCAAAAGAGGCCCCAGGGCCTGGGCTTCCCTGGCCAGGGACACTGGGCCTGGCTGGCCCCTCTCACTGCACTTCCCTCCCCTCCTTCCCCCACTGTCCCCAGGTGGGGCGTCAGAACCCAAGGCCCCTCCCCTGCTCGGCCCAGGACGTGCGCCTGCGGCCAGGCCTCTCTGATGAATGCAGCCTGGACGAGGCGCACCTTTGGCTCCCCGTGTTGAATTCCAGGAGTTCTGGGAGGCTCAGCTGGGGAGTTCTCCTGGTGGCAGCTGGTGTCTCCTGGGGCTGCCACCACCTGGGACATGCTCCGCTGGGCCCAGGGGAACATCCAAGATGGCTCAGCCACAAAGCTGGCACTTGGTTGGTGCCCACTGTCAACTGGCAGGTGCCCTGGAGCCGGTGACTGAGGGCCTCCCTCTGGCATGGCAGAAACAGGGGAGTTGGGCTTTGACAAGGCAGACCAGCGTCCCACGAGAGCCAGACAGAAGGCATATGCACCTGGAGACCAGGATGTATCACTTCCGCTGCTTCCTGTTGATGACAGCAAGGGTCACTAAGTGCCATCCAGATTCTTTTTTTCTTTTTGGAGGTCCTGGGGATGGAACCCAAGAGCATTGGACACTGAACTACACCCGCAGCCCGTTCTTTATTTTATTTTGAGACAGGATCTCCCTAAATCATTGAGGCTGGACTCCAACTTGTGATCTGCTGCTTGAGCTTCCCAGGGCCACCAAGCCTGGGCCAGCCCAGATTGGAGAGGAAGGAACATAGACCCCGTCCCACAACAGAAGTATTTTTTAAAAATGGGACATGTTTTAAAAACTGCCTCTGTGTGGGTTAGAGTTAGCTCAGAGTCGAACTTACCCAGTGTGTGCATGGCCCTGGGTTCAATCCCCAGCACCACAAAAAATAAATAATAATCAAAACTGCCAACATCTGGCACGTGGCAAGATCTCAATAAGTGTTTGCAGTTGTACGATAGCTCCAAATAAGAAAAGTAAACATAACATATAAGGCAAAATGGAATTGTTGAAATATCAATGTAAGAGTCAAAATTTCAACAAAAATTGTATAATCCAAAATATACTCAGTCGTAACCTAGTGAAATAGGATTTGATATGCCTGTGGAATGTGTTGGCTCAGAAATGTATGATTTTGTGAAACACAGAAAGCACAGCCATAAACACCCAACACCAGAGCTGCATCACCTGTGACCCGTGTGGGCTCCTCTGTCAGCTGCCTGGTGCTGGCTGGGAAAGGACCCCGTGAAGTTTTCACATTTTCCCCCCAAAACACATCGAGGCGTCCCTGGGGGAAACCATTGGAGTTTACTAGATAGAACAAGCTCAAAATAAAACTCTCCAGTGCACAATCGATGACTCCCATCACGAATGGCAGAAAAGAGACCAGAGATGTGGAGGTGTTTTTCCAAGTGGCTTGTCACATAGAGAAGCCAGGCACAGCTGTGCCACTGCCCAGACACTTGCAAACCAGCCACACAGGGAGGGACAAGCCGCCCGCGGCAAACAGGTGAAGCTCGTTGCAAAATTATTTTCTCTTTTTCCAAGTCACACTGCAGGTGGAGGGGACCCTGAAGTTAATGGCCAACAACACGGAGGATGGGTGACTCCCGCGGGCACCCACCAACACACACTTCACTTCACCGGCACAGAAGCCACTGCCGAGCAAGAGCTGGGGACACCCCACTTCTGTGCCTCAACAGAACCCTGCTGCCCGGGAAGAGGCTCCGTGCCCTGCTCCAAGCCAATCCTGAGACCCTGCTCCCGATGTCCCAGGCTCCCTTGCAGCGAGGGAAGCCCTGTGACCCAGGTGACCAGTGAGACGGAAGGAGAGAGCAGCAGGCGGTTCGCGGAAAGTCTTTTCTTCTCACGTGTCAGAAGCCAGGCACCCCACACGGGCGGGGCCAGACTTTTCCGACCTGGACTGGGGCGGAACATTGATCCAAGCCATCTTGCCGGCCTCAGGCTTCCTGTCATAGAAGGAAAAAGCCCCTGTGTCCCCAAGCCTCCTCCATCTCTCCTCCCCATCTGCCCTCAAGCCACAGTGACCTCCGATCCTTTGCGAGGTGTCCCCGACATCCACACTCCTCCTTCTGAGGCCACTCTGTCCCTTCCTCTCACCAAGGCCCAGCTCCACTGCCCTGGGCCTGTCCCCACCACTCCCTGGGGCTGCCCCTCAAGGGTCCCCTCCCCCTGCTTCCTTTGCATTTCCCCTTCCTGGGCTTCCGGCCAGCTGTGCCCAGCCACTGGCCACTCCCTCCACCTGGGAACCTCCTCTGGGCTCCCAGGGCCCCAGCTCTCCTCCCAGAGGCCAGGGTGTTCACTGACCTGTCCATTGTTCTACCTCACCACCTGAAACAGCGCCTGGCCACTAGTCACTGAGGAAGACTCTGCGGTTGTGTCCCCAGTGTCCCCCGCCCCTATCTTCTGCAGGAATAAAAGACACAGCTATTTAGATAGGTGCTTGCCACGCACATAGACGGGGTCACATGACTGGATTCTGACCAATGGAATGAGAGCAGAAACGAGTCCTACAATTTCCGGTTAATGCCTTCAAAAAGAAAGGTAGGTACCTCCCCTTCCTTTTCTTGCCTCAGCTGAAAGGCAGATGCAATGGCAGGAGCTAGAGCAGCCATCTGCAGACAGCACTGCTCCTGTAGGCTCAGATCGATTCGCAACAGAGAGGTAAACATCAGCCTTATTTACATCCCCGCCTTCGGGCAGAGACCCAGCTCTCAGAAGGCACGAAAGCAATTGTAGCTTGATTTTCTGTCACTGTCCAGACGTGAGGGAATGTGCTGCACATTTTATTTGGGTCTTGCTCATCGCTGTCCCTGACACCGTAGGGAGGACGTTTTGGGGTACTCTGATGGCTGCCTTGTGAGTCACGACACAGACTGGACAGGGACACAGGGATCCAGACAGAGAGCATGCCTGTCACGTGGCCTGCGGGGCCAGGCAGTGCCACCTTGTTGGAGGCCCCGGCTCCGGGATGCCGCACTCCGCACTCACCCACGAGTGCAGCCGGCGGGTCAGGGCGCCTCCCGAGCTTCCTGCTGAGAAAAATGGAGAAAATCACAGCCGAACCAGGGTCCCTGGGTGGACGTCTTTCCAGCCAGCCATCAGAAGGGACAGGAAGGACGAAGATCTGCTCTTCCAGCCCCAGATCCTCCCTGTTGACTGGAGGTGCACACTGAGCTTTCTGAAAAAAAAAGAGAAAGCTCCAAAGCCGTCCTCTGTGGCACAAAAGCCCTTCTCGTGACTCCCCCACCCCCAGGACTGGGCACCGAATCCAGGGGCGCTCTGCCGCCAGCTGCACCTCTAGCCCTTTTTATTTGTAAGTTTGAGACAAGGTCTCGCTAAGTTACTGAGGCCAGCCTCGAGCCTGCGCTCCTCCTGCCTCGGCCTCCTGAGAGCTGGTTACAGGTGCGTCACCACGCCGCGTCACTCTCAGCAACATGGCCAGCCACCTGACACTGTCACCACAGAGCTGAGATACAATCTACACCTGTGATACAGAGATGCCCGAGCTGTAAACCCAACTGCTGGGACTCCTCGACCCCGAGGGCTCCTCTGCCCCAGGGATTGACCTTCTCCTCTGCTCAGCAGGAGAAACCGTGAGCAGCATAAGCCTATGAAACCCCGTCCAAGGTCCAAGCCGCTGCCCAACAAGCAGGAACCCTCTCCGGCGTGAAATGCAACCAAAGCCAGGGTCAGGCCGCTGTCCCCAGGACTCCCCAGCCGCGGAGTGTGCCTGTGTGTGGCGTCTCCTCTTCTGATGGGCACTGAAGGGAAATTCCGCGAATAATGGCTCCTCTGTCGCCTCTGGGGCCGTGTCCAATCCCCAAAGCGCAGCGCTGCTGAACGCCACCTGGCCCTGGCCAGCGCCCTCCGACACCCTGCCGCATTCAGCGAGATCAAGGGTAAAGGAAGGCGGCGGCCTGCCAGGGGACCGGACGCACTCCATCCTGCGAGTGAGCGGGGACAGAGGGTTGGAGAGAGACTTCCCTTTGGGTGATCCGAGGCTACTTCTGAAAACTGTGGTCAAGTCTAAAGAACCTAAAAATGAACCGTTCTGACGTGAGGCCTGGGCTCGAGCCTCAGCTCTGCGTACAGATAAATGAATAAAATAAAGGGCCGTCAACAACGAAAAGACAGTTTTAAGATGTACCGTTTCGGTCCTGTTGAGGTGTGCGCTCCAGGGGCGTTAAGTCCCCTCGTCACTGTGCAGCCAGCACCACGGCCCGTCTTCGGAACTTTGCTTCACCCCGATGTGAGTTCTGAACCCCTTGAGTGAGAGCTCCCCTCCCCTCCGTCCCTCCCCCAGGCCTGGCCACTTTGTCAACTGTCCCAGGGACCTTGTGTAAACAGAACGGACAATGTTCACCCTTTACTTCTGGTTTCTTCCACTTCGCATGTTTCCAAGGTCCATCCGTGTTGTAGCCAAGCATCTGAATTTCATTCCTTTTTTAGGCTGAATAATAGTCCCCTATACATAGAGTCACCTGTTCCTTATCTGTTCCTCTGTTGGCCACTTTGGCTGCATCACCTTTTGGCACTGGGAACGTGGGGTGCACTTGTCTGTCTAAGTCCCTCCTCTGGGTCCCTTCTAGGATGTTCCCACTTCCATGTGGGAAGTCTGCATTTAATGTTTTTGGGGGGTTTTTTTTGGCAGTACTGGGGATTGAACCTGGGGCACTCTACCCCTGAGCTACATCCCCTGCCCTTTTTAAATTTCATTTTGGAAAAAAAGAAAAGAAAAAGAAATAAATTTCATCTTGAGTCAGGCCCTGCCCAGTTGCTGAGGCTGGCCTTGAACTGGGTGGGGATCCTCGAGCCTCGGCCTCCCGAGTCCCTGGGTCCCAGGCGTGGGCCACACCTGGCGGTGCTTGACTTCCTAAGGAAGTTCCGTTCTGCTACACTGCGCGCACTGCGCTGCTCCGTGGGACGTTCCTTGCTCATTCACTTCGACTTGTTCAGCTTCGGCACATCTTCTCCAGATCTGACTAAGCTGGATCTGAACAGACCCTCCACTTCCCTGTCCTCAGGCTTGCTTTTATTACCATTTTAGGGGTCACCCTGCAGAGGGTCCCAGGCGTCCAGCTAAAGCCCGGTGCTCTGGGCGTCTCCAGCCCCAGGTTCTCAGGTTGCCGACTGCGACTTGAAGGTCCTTTGTGCTAGGACCAGGACATGTGGCCCTCACCCTGAGGCTGGGGGACAGGGTCTGCGAGGGGACTTCCAGGCCGCGATGGTGGATGGGGACCAGGGTGGGGCCACGTTCCCCTCAAAACCTCCGGGGGAAGCCGCTGGAGGTGGGGTGGCTGGGGAGGGGGAAGGGTTCGGCCAAGCAGTGGGGCTGTGGCAACGGAAATGGGGAGGAAGAGGCCGGGGTGGGGGCAGATGAACCGGAGAGACCAGAGAGAGGCCAGGTCCCCCGCCCGACGGGCTGGGCTGGGAGCTGGGCCCCATGTCCCCAGGGTCAGCATGCCTGGCCAGGCTGCCGGGGAGGGGGGGCTACCTTCTGCTGAATCTGAACGGGCCTCCACTTCCCTGCCCTCTGGCGCTTGCTTTTATTGCCACTTTAGGGGTCACCCGGCCAAGCAGTGCACCCCCTGCCGGGCTGTGGAGCCCCCTCTGCGTGGAGACGTGGCAGAGGTAGCTCAGAACACTGAAGCCACCCGCCCTTCCCTCGGGCCTGTGCCAGGGCCAGTGAGTGACCTCTGGATGTCCAAAGGTCCGGAACTCCACCTCAGAGCTGAGCTTAGGCCTCGGACCACCCTGTGTCTTTACCCCATAAAGACTCCCAAACCCTGCCCTCGGTGGGGACACTGGACCCCCCTCCTCCTCTTTGGCTGCCTTGTGAATAAACCCTTTCTTGTTTGCAAACCTGGTCATTGTCGTTCTGGTGTCCTGGGCCATGAGCACACGGGCCTCAACCCCAAACACCAGTGGCCTCCCCAAAACCTCACTGCCACACAACATCAGCCCCCACCCACTAGGGGCTCACTTGGGACGGCTGTGTTCTAGCACTCTCCAGGGGTGAACACTGGACCTCAAGACAACCCCCACTTCCCAGGTGAGGACACTGCAGCTCAGAGAGGCTGAGTAACGTCCCCAGGATCACACAGCCCAGAAGTGGAGAAGCCCACGCTTGTCGCCCCAAACTGCCTCTCTAACCACAGGAGTCTTTCCTGAGGGCCCTCAGGAGGGACATCACACTCTCCACGAGATCCAATGTCTCCTTCCCACGTCGTCTTGGAAGTGGGGCCACAGCCAGAGAATCCTCAGCTCTCGGGCTTGGTCCCTGGTCCTCCTTCCCTCTGCACAGACTCCTGCGGCTCCGGCCCCCCCTCTGCAGGGACAAACTCCTCTAAAGAGAGGCTGGCTGGCCCAGCCCACCCCGCGGCCTCCGCCTTCTCGGGAGCCGTGAGGGCTGCAGAGAACAAACACTTCTCTCCTTTGTCACACAGAGTAATAGACTCTTGAAAAATCACGTTCTGGAGGATCACAGCTGAGTCGTATAAGCTGGGACTCTCCATCAAAGAGCCTCGGAACCACCGGCTAATGGAATCTCAGCCGGTGACCAGAGATTCCAGGTCACTCCAGTCTCTCCAGGGCTGGGCTGAGGCAGTGACACGGAGCAGGGCAGGGAGACGGCAGGGCCGAGAGGGAGGAAGCCTTGGGGGACAGGAAGGGGAGGGAGAGGCCCGGCCTGTTGTCACGCTAGAGGAAGCCATTGGCGAGCGAGGCTGGCTCTGTTACTGATGGTTTTTAATTATGTAAATCAGCCCAGGGCCTGTGCCTGGCACAGGCTTGGCATCCATCAGCTGGCAGCAGAATTAATCAATAAATAACCAGCTGGATGGGGCCCGGGCCTGAGCGCCAGCCACGCCCCACCCCCACCCAGCTGCTGGCGGGGGAGGAGAAGGAGGGCCACAGCCCAGGGCCATCAGGGCGTTGCACACGCGTGTACAAACCCGCCCGCACATACCAACCAGGCACAGTAGCAGTGGCTTCAGACTGTGCACATGTCCGGGCAGACACACCTATGTGTGCAAATCACACGCAGAGTCAGAAGCAGCAGTGCCCCCGCCCCAGCCCCGTGGGCCTCAGAAGCCCAGCAGTAGGAGATGAGGTCCTCGTCCAACCTCGCCCTCGACCCCTCTTGGCTCACAGCCACAACACCCTGTGACACTGGCCGGGCTGGGCCCGGCCGGAGGCTTACAGATGAGGAAACTGAGACCCAGAGGAGGAGCCGGCCTGAGGTCACGTCCAGGGGCTCCTCCCTCTGCCAGCCCCTGCCCCCCTCAGATGCAAAGAGTGGGAACGGAGGGGCATCGCTGAGGCCAGGTCCCCTCCAGAGAACAGGGCCCTTGGTGACCTGGCAGAGAGGGCCGCAGGCAGCAGTGAGGCTGGCCCGGCCCCCCAGCTCCCAGGGTGGCTCAGCGCCACCCATAAACCTCCCCTCGGCCTGGCTGCTCCTTGCTCATGCTCCAGCGTCAAGGGGAGAGACTCCCATCGCTAGTGGCAGGAGGGAGCTGGCAGGGAGACAGTCCCCTCTTCCCCTTTCTGCCTCCAGCTGCCCACGGTCTCTGCTGCCTGATTGGGGACCACTGAATCCTGAGTCAGAGATGAACCGAGGCATAACGATCTCCTGACCCCCAGCACTGAGTCCCTGTTCTCTGGGCCTGGGGACCGTGCAGTGGGGGCCAGCTCTTGGCACCCACTTCCTGAGCGTCAGCTGAAAGGCTCCTGGGAGGCAGGGAGAGGGAGCAGGGAGATGGCCCAAAGGAGACCAGGAAAGGGCCTTCAGGGCTCCTGGGGAACCGCCTTTGGGGACCACCCACTTCTTAAAGCAGCTGAGCTACACCCCCAGCCTTTTTTTATTTGAGTCAGAGTCTCGCTGAGTTGCAGAGGCTGGTGGTGAACTTGGAGTCCTCCTGCCTCAGCCTCCTGAGTGCTGGGATGACCGGTGTGCGCCACGGCCCCCAGCTGGCTTTTCTTTCTATGAGACAGGGTCTCACCGTGTTGCAGAGGCCGGCTTTGAACTCACGACCTGCCCGTGTCCACCGAGCTGGCCTTTCTTACAAGTTGCCAGCTAACGCCGCGACCGCTGGTGTGGGGGCCACGCTCTGAGAACCCACAGCCCGTGCGAGTGCCCACTAAGCAGCTCGACTCCGCTGACCCCCCAAACTCTCTGAGTGAGGGAGGTGAGCCAGGGCCCAAGGCCACACAGGAAGAGAGTGGCCCACCAGAAGGGGGGTCCTGAGGTGGAGGAGGCTCCATCCCCACCCACCTGCCCCCCTTCTACTCCTATCCCAACCCCCATCAGGAGCGAAAAGGCGGAACTGCCTTCCTGGGCAGAAGTGATCTCTTAATCTCTTGGGCTTTAATCTTGCAGCCCAACGTAAACCCAAATCCTCCCAGGGAAAGGAAGGGGGTGGGGACACTGATCTGCCCTGGAGGGGGGGTAATCTAGGCTTTAGGGTCTCACTTGGCCACAGATGTCCCACCCCATCCTCTGGGAGCTCTGGGGGAGGAGCAGAGGCAACGGGAGAGGAGAGGCGGAGGCAGCCAGAGGGGGAGAGGAGATGGACTGAGCCGTTCAAAAGGCCTCACCAGCAGGAGGAGTTTCCTTGACCAAGAGGCAAAAGTATTAGCATAAAAGAAAAAGTGGTAAACAGGGCGTCATGAAAATGGAGAATTTATAGTGAGCACAAAACACCCTTAAGAGAACCGAGAGCCTCTCCCGGGTCAGGAACGGTATCGTAATGCCTGTCCGGATGCGAGGGAGGACCAGCATCACCTCACATAAAGCACTCCTACACATGAAATGACCCACAGTCTTAAACAGGCAGAAGATACGAGAGGCACCTCACCAAAGAGAAGATGCATCCAAACAGCCGACTCGCACTTGAAAAGACGTTAGCAACCCTCAAGAGACAGGAAACGGAAACCCTCCAGTTACCCTTTATACCCAGCAGGAGGGGCACCACTTGAGATTGAAAATAGCAAGTATAGGCTGACAGAATCACCTCCCGTCACAGCTGGTCCCAGTGTCACGGCTCAGCCACTGTGAAAACCGTCTGGCCGTCTCTTACTGCTCTGGATGGGATGTTGTGTCTCCTACAGAATCTGCACTGAAACTTGGTTGCCCGTGTGAGAGTACTAAGGGGGGTGCTTAGGGACGGTTTTAATCACAAGGGTGGGGCCTCCTGGACGGAGTTAGCGCCCTTGTGAAGAGGCTCGAGGGAGCTGGTTAGCCTTTTGCTCCTCCGGCCATGTGAGGACACAGCAAGAAGGCACCAGCCCTTGCCAGACGCCGGATCTGCTAGCACCTTGATCTTGAATTTCTCGGCTTCCCGCGTTGTGAACAGTGAGTTTCCATTATCCATTGACTGCCCAGCTTCAGACAGCTGGTCACAGTAGGAAGGCCCTGAGACACCTGTGCCTGACCTACCCATTCTGCTCCTAGGAATTCACCGGGAGAAATGGAAGCGTCTGTCCACACAGTGACAGGAGGCTCCCTGCAACAGAAAGCCACCCAGATGTCCATCAACAAGTCCCTGATCACCACCGTGGAGCCCCTCCCCGATCCTGGACACTTACCCCTGATTCGTTATATGGAAGAGACACGAGGCTCCGCGTGGCATGAGCCACTAGTTTCCCAGTAGTGAGACGCGGTTCCTCACGACTCCACCCACGGAAGACCTAGAGGTGGACATCACTGAAACCCCTGCCCTTCACACCCGTTTCACAGATGGGCACCCACCTGCCCCCTGTGGAGATGCCCATGGTGCCCAGGAGACCAGCATTCAAGGCTCAGGTCCCAGATGCTGAGCCAGCCTCCAACTGACCTGGACCAGTCCTGGGACCAGGTGCCAATGGTGCTCCATGCAGGTCACTGCTGCTGGGGACCTTGACATAAGCACCAGGGAGATGGCCACTGCCCACCTGGACAGCAGGCCCTGCCACGGAGATAAAGGAGAAGCCAGAGAACGCTGACAAACCATAAAGAATAAGCAGCTAAAATAAGCCCTGGCTGGGAGGGAAACGTGTCCCCCTCGGTCTTGCCGTTGAAATGGAGCAGCTGTCCAGGAGCCGCCCTGCGAGGCTCAGGAGGACAGCTGAGAAGCCCACACCAGGACCACCCGGGGGCTGGTACCTGGAACGGGCACTGGGTGGCCTGGGTCCAAATCTCTGCTCCAAGAGCCATCTTGGACGTCCCGCCGGGCCCAGCGGAGCCGTCAGGTGGTGGCAGCCCCAGGAGACACCAGCTGCCACCAGGAGAACTCCCCAGCTGAGCCTCCCAGAACTCCTGGAATTCAACACGGGGAGCCAAAGAGAATGACCCTTTTCACCACGAGCAACGTCACCAATCAGAGGTGAGCAGAAGGCGCGCCTCGTCCAGGCTGCGTTCATCAGAGAGGCCTGGCCGCAGGCGCACGTCCTGGGGCCGAGCAGGGGAGGGGCCGTGGGTTCTGACGCCCCACCGGAGGACAGTGGGGGAAGGAGGGGAGGGAGGTGCAGTGAGAGGGGCCAGCCAGGCCCAGTGTCCCTGGCCAGGGAAGCCCAGGCCCTGGGGCCTCTTTTGGACAGGAGCCCTTTAGGGGCTGAGCCAAGCTCACAGCTCATCCCGTTTCAAATTTGCAAAATGTCAGTGGATAAAATTGTAGCATCCATTTTCCTCGTGTCTAAAGCCCCAGCTGCCTGGGGACCTGGGGGAGCCTGTGGGGGAGGCAGACCCCTTGGCTCCTGGCATCTTGGGTCACGGTGCTCAGGATCTTCCTGGGGAAAGAAAGATATTAGAGCCATAAAACTAAAGGACATGAAATTTTTTTTTCATCGATACACCAGCACACTCTTTAATATCTGGAGACTGGATGTGAAATTAAGACTCCTTTGTCCAGTAAGTACACAATATATACAGCAGGACAACGTTCAGTGAAACACAGGGAACAAACGGCCGTGGGCAAGCTACGGTTTCCAGCACATTCTACAAGACACCTTTTGCCACTTCTTCCTCCCACCTCCGTGAGCCTGGTGAACAGGTACGATTCCAAACACAGTATTTCCCATGCATTTTTTAAAGCTATTTACAAAAAGTTTTATTCTACGACGTCTACTTTCAAACATGGCAAGCCCTTCTAAATATACAGAAGCTCTCCCACAAGAGAACCTGTCCTCCTCGCGCTCGGCACTGGTAAATACAACCGTGCACGTCCCGGTGGTTATAATCCGAGGGATCTTCTAACATGACCATTTTGGCCTTAAATCTCTCCCTCCCCACTTCCTTCTCTCTAAATTCAGTCCAGTGGACAAGTGCAGCCGTATGTGATGCTTACAGATGGTTAAACAAATTCACAGCCAGAAATTATTTACAGAGGACAAGCTTTCCCATGGATTTAACACAATGCAGAAAATGTGCTAATTTTACTTTGTCATACACTGGCAATCTCTTTATCATCTAGAGACGCCAAGTTGCAAAACTGGGTCTCGTTTTGTCCATGATATGCACACTGCAAGGGTGGGGCTTAGCGGTACGGCACTCTCCTAGCACGCGTGAGGCCTTGGGTGTGATCCTCAGCACCTAGTTAAAGTAACTAAATAAACAATAAACGTATAACCACCTCCACAGCCCTGCTCAGAGCAGTGGGTTAACAGTTCCACTCCCCAAAGACAGTATTTGATATGAAGTTGAGCAAAAATATATCTACAAAGCGATATTTTTGCCACCTCTGCATTTAACATACGCAGGGCCCTTCTGAACATCTCACCAGACGAGATGTTTCAGGTAAGGGCTTTGATTCGTCTGCCACATACACCATAGTCTGGAGTCAACTGCCCACAGGTAGCAATGTTCTAATTTGGAAATGTCTTCAAAATATGAGCATTCTGGCCCGTCACTGACCCGGGGGCTATAATGCTGACATCTTTTTTTTTTTTAAAGAGAGAGAGAGAATTTTTTTAATATTTATTTTTTAGTTTCGGCGGACACAACATCTTTGTTTGTATGTGGTGCTGAGGATCGAACCCGGGCCGCACACATGCCAGGCGAGCGCGCTACCGCTTGAGCCACATCCCCAGCCCAATGCTGGCATCTTTAGAAGACCTTCTTTCCCAGGAATTTTAATACAAAACGGACATAATTTATGCTTACGAACAGTACTTGGTCATACAGTGGCCACCTCTTTAACATCTAGAAAGACTGCGGACGTAGATGAGGACTCCTCTGTCCTTTATAGACACTCTGCACACAAAAGCAAAACAAAGCCCACGGACAGGAATGAGGGGTGAAATCCCCACACAAACAGTGTGGACCCATGCGGCCCAGGACCGGCTTCTCTTCCTCGTCCCAGCTTCTGCTCAAGGGAACAGGTGTCGCTCCTGGTGTCACTTCCAGAGGTGGCTCCATTTCAAAGTCGCTTCCAGAAGTCACAAATGGGAGGCCAGGCACCACGGTGCAGGCCTGGAATCCCAGTGGCTGGGGAGGCTGAGGCAAGAGGATCGCAAGTTCAAAGCCAGCCTCAGCAACTTAGTGAGGCTCAGTGGTTAAGTGCCCTTGGGTTCAATCCTCAGTACCAATAAATAAATTAAAAAATAATTTAAAAGGGCATTTCCAAGGCGTGTTGTTTTCTAACCATCAAACAGGGCAAGCTCTTCCTCCCCGCATGTCCAGATTTGGTGAAGTTTGATTTTTCAGCCAAGCTTTCTTTGAGAGCAGATTTTCCCGGTACACACAGGCCTTCTCCAGAGGCCGCAGACCTTCCCAGGGGGCACCAGGCACTTCGGATTGGCCGGGGGACGCGCTGCCCCTCAGTTGGGCAAATCAAGGCCACCAGCCGGCCATTAGCTGCACGTATCACTGTCGGTGGCTTCGCTCCGGACCCTTGAGGCCTCTGTTCCAGGGTTCGGGTTCGGGGACAGGTGAGGGCGCGTCCAACCGAAGGAACGCCCCCCGCCCAGGCCCTGTGGCCCCGATGTCTGACCCCTGGTCGCCTTTGGGGCCTCCCGCCTTCTCGGGCCCTCGAAGCCCCTCGTCCTCGGCGGTGCTCGGAAGGTCGCCCTTCTCACCACCCGAGGGGGCCGCGTCCTCCGCAGGATCCTCGACTGGACCCGATAGAGTTGGGCCTGGAGCCCCTGCAGCCGCGGCCACCCAGCTGCGAGCACAGCCGTGGTCATCAAGGCCTTCGCGGAAGAGACTGGCCCGTCCTTGGCGGCCGCGCTCCCCGTGTCCGCAAGGCAGAGGCCACAGCCTGTCCCCGCCGCCAGCCAGTTCACCACAGGCTTCCCCGGAACTCGGAACTCGTTTTCCCTTCATTTTGTGGTTTGGTCAGAGGCCAGGGCCCCCCGGCTCCAGGCTGCAGGTCCCAGGTGCCAGGTCCCCTGTGCCTGAAAGCCAACACCCTGGGCAAGGTGAGCCGCCCCCCTCTGCCCTGTCGCCCCGCACAGACCGGAAGGGTGACGCAGGTTGGCCCCTTGCCCATGGGCCACTGGCCACCGGGCCTCACCTGTTCCTGTCTAAATCACTGTCTTAATTCCCCAGGAGAGAGGGGACCCCACTCCTGAGAGAGGGGCACCCCTGGGACTGACTCCAGCCACCTCCCCCTGAAGCAAAGCGGCCGGTCCCTCAGGCAGGCTCCTGCAGGGCCGCTCCCCTCTCCTGGAATGTTCTCTGCCTCCAGAATCCAATACTCAAAGGATCTGAAGTCTAACTGTAGGTGGCACCTGGAGTCCATCTCGGGCCACCTGCCCACAGGGTGAGCTGAGGGAAGCCACCACCCCTGCCCACGGTGACCGTGCAGCAGGGGTAGGGGGTGGTGAGGGCCAGCAGCTGTAGGGGAGATTTGCAGCCAGAACACGGGGCAGTGGTCACTGAGGCTGGGCCAGGGCGAGCTGTAGGGTTTGTGACCCAGGTGGTGGCCGGGGACCTCCACCTGGAAGGGGACCCCACTCCTGATTTAATGCTCTTGAGCTTCTTAGTGCTTTTGGAGGGAGGGGCTTCACTGGGCCTGGAGCTGGTCCAGGCTGGGGTCAGCCGCTGGCTCAGAACGCAGCGCTTCGGGCAGCGAGTAGGGCCAGGCAAAGCGGGGGAGGAGGGAAGCCCAGACGAGTCTGGGAAGCCGTCACCTGCCCCCAGCACCCAGTCAGGAAGCAGGGACACGAAGATTTGAACCCAGGCTGTGGGACTCCACTCTCCTGTCTCCTGGGACAGCCCTCACAGCCAGCTGCTCTCCTGAGGGTCCCTGGAGTTGTCCCCCTCCTCCGGGGAGCCTTCCTGGATTGCTCTGGCCGAGTCACGCCTGCCCTCCCTCCTCCCTTCACTGTTTTCCCACAGGGCTAGAGGCCGGCCTCTGCCTTCTTTTCTACTCTGCAACATGGGCCCCCGAGGGTGACATTGAGGACTGCAGGAGCCTGGTTGGTGCCTGGTACACAGAGGCAGCTATCAAGTATCAACCGCCAACGACGACATTCCTGGTGGAACTTCATTTCCTTATTGTGCCTCCCCCGGGAGGTGGAACTCCCAGTGCTGGACCCCCCCCCCCCACCGCTCCCACCCGCTGCTCCTGACACAATTGACCCACTGATGTCTCCTGGCGCAGAAGGAGCAGCCCAGAGCTTCCCCAGGCTTAGGTTTACGGAGGCAAAAATAAGTGGTGATTATCAGCGATTCATTTGTCAAATGCAAGGTCAACAATCCCATTTGTCCCTGTCACTAGGACAGCATCAGGAAGCTCCCCATGTCCCCAACTCTCTCCCTGACAATGGCAGAAATTCCACCACTAGAGCCAAGGGCCCCAGGACGAGAAGCAATTTAGGAGCAGCAGCTGGAGGAGAGGCGGGATCCAGGTCAGGGAGGAAGGAGGGTGGGAAGGAGGGCAGAGGCGGACCCGTGGGTGGCGGAGGGTTCTGCAGCCGCAGGCGCAGGCGCAGGCACACACTGTAATCCCCGCCCGCCCCGTGGTAGGGGCTTAAGCCTCTATCTAGGCAAGCCTAGCCCTGCCCCCAGACTCACAGGCCACCTCGGTCCCTAGCAGGGCTTCCCAAAGGCTCAGCAAGGCACCCCGCAGGGCTAGAGGCCAAACTCAACAGAGGAGCAACACAACACACACACCAACAAATCACACACACACACACACGCACACTCACACGCACACACGCACACTCACACACACGCACACTCACACACACTCACACGCACGCACGCACACACTCACACACGCACACACACTCACACGCACGCACACTCACACGCACGCACACTCTCACACAAGCACACTCACACACACGCACACTCACACACACGCACACTCACACACACACACACCCAGGCTCTGTGCGCACTAACCACAGGCCAGGCACAGGCACACGTCAATTTGCCCTCCCACAGTCATGACAAACCCCGGGAACATGATCCTGTCCTGGAAGAAGCCGCAGCCCTGCTCTGCCGGAGCCCACCTCTTCTCCACAGGGACCCACCCCAGGGAGGTTCCCTGTCACCTCATTCCCTTCCCCAGGAGCGTCCCCCAACCCATGCGTCCTCTATGGCTGTCCCCCTGAGCCTGGCCTGTGGGAGCCTGTGGCCTCTACAGAGGCTGCTCCAACAGCCCAGAGGGACTCCCCACGCCTGGCCACTCTGCCTCCTGGGAGGAGCTGGCCAGAGAGAGTGTGAAAACACAGATTAGAGCAATTAGAAAGGAGTCATGGGAGGGCACAGGGACCCCCCCACACACACCGCCACTAATCACAGCTCCAGCACAGCCATAAGGCACTGATTCCAAAGCAGGAAGAGGGCTGGGGTGGGGGGCAGGCAGGCAGAACCCCTTGTATTTATGTGAGTCACATCCATGCCACACAGAGGCAGAATCACTGAAGTTCCATTCCCCAGAGGGGACACTAAGGTCTGGGGCACTGATGGAAGGGACCCGCCAAAGACCCGGTCCTGGCCTGGTCTTCCCAGCTTGAGGTGGAACCAGGATGGCCCCAGGCCCTGGAGAGGACCCCGTTGGCTTGGGATCCTGCTCTCCCCACTTGTCCTCTCTGGAAAGAACCGAGTTGAGCAGGAGGCCGATCCAGCTCTGTGTGGTGCTCACGGCGGGCTGCCAGTTGCACATGGGGCAACCCTGACCTTCACCAAGTGGCAGGATTATTTAACTGATGGCTGCTGTCCAGCTGGTCATGTTTGTTCAGCAGGGTGAAGAGACATCTGTGGAATTTTCTTCCCCCGGTTGGGAAGAATTTCCATGGAATCTCAGTGCAAAGGGCCCATTCTGGTGCCCCTTTATCCCATGAGGTCCCTCCAAGCCCATCTAGTGCCCCTAGCAGCACCCAGACGCCTTAACCTTCTGGTCAGCCCTACCTGGCCCTGCTGGGTTGAGAAGCCAGTGGTGAGGCATGAGTGCCCTCTGCTGGTGACGGCCCACACTGCCCACTGGGGCTCCAATCCTGGGTCCAGGTAGTGGGCTCCCCCCTGACATCTCAGGTCTCCTGGCTGGCTGGAGGGACTACAGGACCAAGCATGGAGCCCTAAGGAGGCGCTTCAGCAGCACATGAAGAAGCTGCAGCTCCATTCCTGTCCCAGCCCCAGGGAGTGTAACCGGGGGGCAGGTTCCTGGGTGAACGCCAGGCAGGGTCAAGAAGGCAGGGACGGATGCCCATCATTGAGCATGGACCATTGAGTGGGCCCAGAAACTGGGAGCCAGATGAAGTCGGGGATGAGTGAGTGGATGAGTGAATTCACTGTTTCCTGAAAGGAGCTGGGAATCGGGATTCACGAGAGAGGTCTCGACAACAGCAGTGAGCCGGGAGGGGATCCACTCTGGTGTGAATCAGAGGTGACGTCTCTGGCCCGTCACATCCTTCTATCTAAAATGTCCTAGGTACACAAGAGTCAATGTGGAAACTATTAGGTAAATAACATGTACATCCTCAGCTCTGGGCCTCTGCACTCAGTACAAGTCGTGGATGGATGAAGAGACGTTAGGGCAGGTTTTGAATGATCTTTGGCAATGGGTCCCCTGTTCTGCTGCACGGGGCAGTCCCCTGGGCAAGTCTGTGTCTTTGAATCTCCGGGGGGGAGGGTGCTGAGGAGGAAGTTTCTGTGTCATCGACAGTCCTCAAAGGTGACTGCCCTTTACAGAACATCGGGGCTTCGCTGCCTTTTGAGATAGTGACGCTGAACTCAGCCCCCCACCCCCACCCCGGGGATTCCTCTGCTGGATAAGAGCTTGGACCAGCCAAAGGCCAAGGTTTCATGTACGCAAAAGGAAATGACCTGCTGTCTATGTGAACCAGCTTCTGGGTCGACACAGTACAAAGTGAGCGTGTGTTTACCATGGTCTTGATACATCTGGATTCAGATGTCTCACTTGTTCACCCTGCACATCATTTTTCACGAGGCACGTCCTCATTATCAGTTACGATCACAGCGGCTGCTGTGCCGAGCATGTAGGGTTTGCTGTCCTGAGTTTATAAGTTCATTGATGAGACTTTTCTCCCCTGAAAAATGACTCCCCATCTGGAAAACTGTGACTGGCCAATTATGAACATGTATTAATAAAATGCAGTTATAATCTGTTTCTCTTAACTGGGTCCTGATTCGCTCATAATAATTCTCAGTGGTGGCCCGGATGGCTGGGCTGGTTTTTGCAGAGGGCTGGCCTGCGTTTCTCTAAACCCCACACCACGGCGGGTGGACAAGTTAAGGCTGCATTTGATGTGCGAGCAGTTCAATTATCTTGTTAGATACTCTGGATAAGAGAAAAAGAATTTCCACTCATGAATTTTCATCATTATAAACTCTGGGAAAAAAATTGAGAAAAATAAATTTTGTCCTATTGGCAAAGACTGGCAGACATATTGCCGTCAAGTCTGATTCTTAGGTCAGTTTAATGGTGTTCAAATAACAGGATTTTTTTTTGGGGGGGGGGGGGCGGGGAGAGGATTTAAAAACAAAGCATGAATAGATTTGACATAGCACAGAGTCAGAATTAGTTCTGTTGATGGCAAGTTATTCAATATTAATTCTACTTTATGAATAAATGCAATTAAGTTGCAAATCCCTTAACAGAGTGAAATGTTAGGCCAGTGTTTTAATTGGTATTAGGAAATGTCAGATTAGCATCCCAAAGGAAGACGAAATCTTTGGCATGATGCTGAAAACATATGTGTTAGTTTTAAAGCTGTGTCTTGCTCTTTTACATAACTACTGGGGAATAAAAATTGGTACAACCACTCTCAAGGGCAGCTGGATGGCATCCACCTAAATGATAAATGTACCTTCTCTTAATTCATCAATCCCTCTGCTAGGAGAAATTTATTTTCCAATATGCTCAGTGTGGACATAATAACACGAGTACAAGAAAACTCACCGTAGCATTGTTGGAAAAACAGCCTGGATGTCCATCAACAGAGACTGGTGGATAGAAAACTAGAGAAGTAGTATTTGGACTATCTTGGCTAAAGGAGATTGGGGATTCACCGACGACACAACCCAATTAAAACCTCGGCAAAGGACTTGGACTGACATTTCTCCAAAGAAGATATGCAAATGGCCAACAGCATGTGAAAATATGGCCAACATCACTCGTCACTAGGGAAACACGGATCAAAACTGCAATGAGGTACCATTTCACACCTATTACAATGGATATTGAGCACGCACACAGTGGAGAATAAGTGTTGGTGGGATGTGGAGAAATTGGAACCCTTGTGCTTTTCTTGTGAGAATATAAAATGGCGCAGCTGCTATGGAAATACCATCAGAGTTCCCTAAAAAACTTAAAACACAGAATTATTATACGATCCAATAATTCCACTGCTGGGTATATACCTTGAAGAATTGAAAGCAAGGATCGATATTTGTACCCAGGTTCACAACGTCATTCACAGGTGTCAAAAGATGCCAACAACCCAAATGATCATCAATAGACAAATAGTTAAATATTATACTGTCATAAAAAGGAGAGGAACTCTGAGATATGCTTACAACATGGATGAATCTTGAAAACATTCCACTTAGACATTAAGAAGAGGTTTTGGTGATGGTCACACAACCTTATAAATGAATGTTGCTGAATTAAACACTTCAACATGATAAAAAAAGCAAATTTATGGTATACATATTTTAACAGCATTTTAAGATTTTTTTTTTAAGTGAGGAAGTCTAAATCTCTTCCCCTTGAGGCTGGGCCACCTTGGTTACTGACTTCTAATGAGTTATGCTGCCTGACTTCCCAGGTGAAGTCACAAGAGGCGACACAGCTTCTGCCGAGCTGTCTTGGCTGGGAACCTGAGCCAGAAGGGAGAGTCCAGTTGCCCTGCAGATCCCTGCTGGAGACACAGGACACGGCGGAGGGCCCCACTGTTCCAGCTCATGGTCTCTGCCCCAGCCTGGAGCCCCGTCTGCCGAGGCCAGGTGGAGCAGGGACAGGTGTTCTGCTGAGACCTACCAGACTGCAGATCCTTGAGCAAACAGGCGTGGGCAATAGACGACGGGTACCGAGGACACGCTGGGAAGTAGGAGTCATCTCAGTCGGTTGCAAGGTTGCCGTCACCCTGGTTCTGAACGAAGCTGGGGTCCCGGGGTTGGAGCCACAGGGGGCTCTCTACCCTGAAGGCAGGGCACCCAGCCTGGAGGTTCGCCCACCACTTCCACCCCAGGTCGGGCTCCTGCTCAGAGGTCCTTGAAATAAAATCCAGAATGAGGAGGAAGGAGTGAGCGGGAGTCGTCACCTGAGATGGGACTTCAAGAGATTTGAGCAGAAATTATGAGGCCAGAGCCAGAGGACTCCGGGTCAGGGGCTGTAGGGTTATTAAGCGCGGAAGAATCTAGAAATAAACCATACTGCACCCCCCAGAGACCTCCCAGTCTCCTGCCTGCTCAGGTCCTTCCCGCTCCTCCCCCCAGCTCTGCAAGTCCTGCTTGTGGCCACCGGGGAGCAGAAGCCCCGTAAGGAACACCCCCAAACCCAAGGGCGCCCCTCTGCGCAAGTTCCACTCCTGTGCGGTGCTCACGGCAGCGCCACCCGCCCAGGCCACGCCCCCTCTAGCCAGGGTCCCCTGCTAACACCAGAGGGTCTGATGGCCCATCCCGTCACACAGGACCCAGCCAGTGGTCACCCTCACTGCAAGGGACGCTGGAAACACGTCCGGCTGGGGGCCCAGGAGGAAGAGCTAAAGAGGCCATCACTCCTCAGGATAAGAGCCGGGTGGCAGCCGCCACCCACCCCGTTTGCCACGTCTGGCGCTAAGCGTGGGGTGCGAGGACCTTAGAAAATGGGGAATCTACGGTGGACGCCGGTGCTGGGTCCTCGGCCTGGAAGGAGGGGACGCTCTCCTCCCAGCGGCCCTGGAGCGATGGCGGGAGGGGTGCGCGCTCTCATTTCTCAGATTAGGAGGCAGGCTCTGGGCTCTGAGCCGGGCACAGGCCACGCTGATCCTCCCACCTCTGTGCCAACCGCCGGAGCCCGGGGCCTGGCGGCCTCCCCAGGCCACACCCTTGCTGAGGGGCATCTCCAAGGCCGCTCTCCTTCCTAGCAGTCAGTGGACCGTGCTTGACACACTGGGGGCTCCTGGGGCAGCAGCTAGAGCTCACTCGTCCCCACAGCGCCCTGGCTGCGAGCACAGCCCTTGAACCCAGTGTTGAGGTGTAAACGAGCCAACGAAGCCAGTGAGAGGGTAGGTTACGGGCTCCAGTCCAACAACTGTATGAGTTTGATCATGTCAATGCGAGGCTCGTGGATACCCGTGTGAGATGACCCTGAACCAGGTAACTGCGAGCATCAAGAAAGTCACTTGCACTGGGCCATCGGGAATGGAGTCACCGTGGCTATATGGACAAAAAGTGTGGCCGTAGGGACTCCACCTCTGCTGTTCTGGACCCCATCCTGGTTTTCCTGTACCTGCTCCTGGGATGAGGGACCTGCAGGACCCACTTCTGAGAACCAGAAACGAAAGTTGTTTTCTTATTAAAAAAACAAATTGTTTGTCTGTACTTTGTGCCCCACAGAATGTCCCCAACTCAGGATATGGTGGTGGTGGTGGTGAGCTCCGTCCTGGGTTTGAGTACAGCTATGGGGCTGCGTGACTTTGAAATGGATCATGGCCCCGCTCACCTGAGACTCGGGACACGGTTGTTGAGCACCTGCTCGGACCCGAGACACGGCTCACTGAGTTGTAAGCTCCCTGCTGGCGTGATGCCAAGAAAGGCCCCTGAGTTGTGGTTTCCACCCTTAAATTCCCAGGACACAGGCCAGGCTGTTCTCCCACGGAGCATCAGTCTCTCCGGGTGGGTACAGTCCCTGGCCAGGTAAATAAAGCTCTCTTCTGTTTGAATTCGGCTCCCCAAGACAACAGTCGGGGCTCAGGCCATGTCTGGGGGCTCATTTGCTCACACAGGCTCAGGTTTCATGCCTTGCTGCTTGCACAGTATGGGGGTCCCTTAAAAGTCATAAATCAAGGGGTGTCCACCAGATAGCCCCTCTGTGTAGAGTCAGCAACACCTACAGCAGGACCTTGGCCTCCCTGAAAGTCACTCCTGAAACAGGGATGAGGACGACACCACGCGGGAGCCAGGACCACAGGGTCATCCGCACCCCATCAGGCCCAGCCCTTGCCTGTCACGGACACGGACACACAGTGATCTCGCCCCGGCAGGAGCCTGGAGGCCTGCGGGAGGCCGGGCTCTGTCCGTGGTGCTGAACTCCCGACTCCAGCCCCAGGCCGCTCGCTCTCTCCCAGGAGCCGGTGAAAACAGTCTGCGTCTTGGGAGAGCTGGGTTCTGCGGGTCCAGGGGGAGCCCTGGAATCTGGTTTTGCCAAAAACCTGCCTTTCTACACCTCCACCCTGGTACTGGCCCATGTCTAAGCCCCATCAGGAACCGCTTGGCCTCCTGGGGTGGCTGCTCTGGGCCCAGCGCTGGGCCAGAGACCGTGAGTCCAGGTCCTGCTCTGGGGGGCTCAGGGCCCCCTGCTCTGTGTGGACAGCGCCCCGCCCACGCCTGTGACTCTCAGGCGGAAGATGAGATGTGTGGCGACAAGAGTCATCTCAACCACACTGAGGTCCGCATCTGCCCCTGGGGTCTCCACACCCCATCAGCAGTGGGGCACACCTGCTCAAGACCCAGAGCCGATGGCCGGCAGCCCTCCCCTGCCTGCTCGCTGTCCCCGCTGCTGCCTTTGGGGCAAGGTCTGCACCCGACTCAGGGGCAGATTCCACCCCACCCACTGTTGCCCCAAGGAAGCCAGCAGTGAAGTCCTGGGGCCGGGGAAGAGCAGGAGGTTCCCAGGTCACAAAGCCGCTGGGACAAAGGTTTGTAACAAGCAATCAGGGTGCGCCTCCGGGAACCAGGCTCCGGGCCAAATGCAAATCAGGCAGGGCCGATTCCAGCCCAGGGCCGCCTTCCTCCCTTTGGGTGCGCGGGGAACAGGACGGGAGCCAGGACAGCTGTGCTGATGCAAACAGATGTTCTCCAGGCCGAATGTGGGGCAGGGAGGAGAGAGCGGAGGAGAGAGTGGAGGTGGGAGGATAGAGCTTTCCCCACGCACTTACCAGGGGGGGCTGCCCAGGGACCTCCCGGGCCCCTCCCGGCCTCAACAGCCACCCGCAGGCCCCCTGTGAAGGAAAATTCCAGACGTGATATCATTTCACCCACGAGCATTTCAAAATGCATCTTTCACCTCTTAGAACATTTTTCAAAATAACCTCAATATCATTGTCACCCCTCATAATGTTAACAGCCCCTAATGTCATCTAATGACAGTCCCTGCTCCGATTTCCTTATTTTCCTCAAAAATGTCATTTTAAGGTCCATGGATTTCAATCAAGATCAAAACCAGGCCCACACATTGCATCTGGGTGCAGTCTCCTGCGTCTCTCTTAATCTGTCCCCCCCTCCTTTTTGTATGCCGTCCCCCTGGTTGGAGGCCAGGTCCTTGGTCTTGTAGAACTGTCCCCATGGTTGACCCCGTGGTTGAACCTCAGTGTCACCTAACATCCCTGTACCCTGGTGCTTAGATCCAGAGGGCCGACCTGGCTGGGGCCCACGGCCAGGGGAAGCCGACTGGGGAGGCACTGGTCCTTCCAGTCGGGTCCTAACTGGACACGCACACCCAGGTTTTCTCCTCTGGGCGATACTAAGGATGAGTATCTTAGTACAGTGGGTCCCAGTGTGGCTGGACTGATTCCTCCATGATAAAGCCCCTCCCCATCCCCTGCCCCTCTGCAGGACGCCATCCATAGGACCCCAAGACCCTGGCAAGAGGAGCAGAAGAGATCAGAGAAGCCCAGTCGCTCAGTTTTCTATTCATCCCTCAAATGTTTGTTGAGCATCTACTATGCCAGGTCCCGAACGGCAGCAAACAGGACCCCTGGGGCCCTAGAGCCCAGAGCCAGGTGGGGGTGGACACCTGAGGCACCACAAGGGGCAGTCTGGGAGCAGGAGGGGTGGGCAGCATTACCACAGGCTGAGGCGGCTGCTGCGTGCCGGGTGGCCCCGGGCCCCCAGAGGGGCAGTGGCTCCCGACAAGAGCAAGACTCCAGGGAGAGGGAGAGCTGTGCAGACAGAGCCCCACCTGCTGGAGGAGCCATGAGGAGCCCGACCTAAACCTTCCCCTGCCGTGCCTCAGTTTCCTAATCTGCAAAATGGCCACAAAGGTCTGTGCATCTACTTCAAACAGGCAAAGATGATATGGCCCGATTCACACCAAGTGCTCAGGGGTGGCGGCCCTGCAGCATGCCCCCATGAGGGACAGCTCCACAGCAGGGCGGAGCTGAGATGCCCGTGGCCAGTCTCCCACGGTGGTGCCCACCCTGTTCACAGAAGGGCAGCGTGGCTGGGGGAGGAGCAGGCTCCACTGGGGCCCTGCCTACTCCATGACGGGGTGGGGGCTGGCTGGAGGCCCCCAGCCCCTGAGGAGCATCTCCAGGTTCCTTCTGGCGCCTGTCCACTCTCTGTCGTCCTTGTCATAGGAGCCTACCTTCAGCCCAAGGTCAGTGGTCACCAGGGCCCCAACTTATCCCATCCACGTGCACCCTAAGTGGGGCGGGCAGGCTGCCCAGCCCGGGCTAAAGGTGAGGGGGCTTAGGAGCACAGTGAGGCAGAGAAAGGGGTCCCACCGCCTCCGACCCTGCCCCGGCCTGCAGGGCCCACGTGGGCGCCTCAGCTCAGGGGCCCAGACACAGAACCTCCTGCTTCTCGAAGGGGTTACGCGCTCCTCCCCCACCATCCCAATCCCCATCCTGCTGACTCGCTCCAGCCCCACCCCCAGCTATTCTGGGATAATGGAGGCAGCAGATGGCCGAGCCCTGCTCCCCCCACCGACCCTCAGGATCTGGGAACTACCCGAAAATCTGCTGCTGCTTCTAAAATCAGGCCAGCCAGCAGCCTCCCCTGCGGGGTGAGGAGGGCCGTGGGTCAGGGCCGCCCTCACTCAGCTCCATCCTGCACACCCGGCACAGGTCCCTCGCGTGCTGGGGGACCACGGGCATGTGGCAGTCCCCCTCTGGGCCCCAGGACCCTCCCTGGGAAGGAAACAAGGGGCTGAGCTTGGTGGTTCCAGATGCCTCTGACCCAGATGTGCGGGGACAAGGACTCTGTCCCTCAAGAGCCAAGGACATGACCCAAGGGAGCCCCAGGCCAGATGCCTAGGCCAGGGCCCCTCCACCCCTTGGGGTCTCTCCTCCCTCCTCCCCGATCCCAGAGCCCCATTGTGGCCCTCAGGGGTCAGTGGGCACAGCCACAGGCACACACGCATCCTCACACAGAGGGGCACTCACGCCTGTGCACACACACACACACACACACACACAGATGGCACACACACGGAGCCCCTCTTGAGCACCAAAGTGACTACCGTCACCACTGTGACAGATAGACTGAGGATCCCGCCCTGTCAGGAACACTCTGGCTGCAAACAGAAAACTGGACCAAGAGAGACTTAAATAGGGGTTTAATTTCGTACAGAACCAAACGCTGGAGGAGACAGCTGCGGTGATGGTCTTGGGCTTCCCTTCATGGTGGCAAAGTAGCTCCTCAGATCCAGCCATCATACCCACATTCACACAGGAAGATGAGGTACAGGGCTGAAAAACCTCACCCAGAAACCTCTCTACTGGCCAAACCTGGGTCACAGGGTAACGTCTCCCAGCAACGGAGACTGCAAAGTGAGCCAAAGGGTTGTCTTGATTGGCTGGGACCATGCGGACCATCACCTGGGCCTGCTGAGGCTCCAAACCTGAGCCCATTAGCAAGTGGGGGAGCAAGGAGCTCAGAGACTCCGCAGCGTCATCGTCCGTCACAGACCCTGGGTTTGGCTGTGACTCTTTCAGGTCCCCTCAGTGACACAGGATCCGGCCAGGGGACTTAGGAGCAGACGGCCCCGTGCTTCAGCCCCAGGGGAATGACGGGGACAGAGCCAGGGCCGGAGCCAGACCGCCCCCTGGGGGCCCAGTCAGTGTCTAAGGGATGGCACCCCGATCCCCAGCCCTGCCCAGGTGCCTGCCCCGCTCAGTCGGCTCCCCCAGGCCGCGGGCTCCAGCCTGGGCCTGTCCGGCCCTCACCTGGCCCTCCTGCTCCCAGGCTGTCCAGCCTCCTCTGGGGCCCGGGTGCCTCCAGCTACCCACAGGCCTGCATCTTCGTCGCCCGGAGGCCGCGCCAGGAGCCGCCCTCCAGGGGCACGCGCCAGCGCTGCGTGGGCACAGGAGCCCCCCGAAGTCTCCGCTGGCCTCTGCCCAGTGGCTCAGGGCACAACCAGCTGGGGACACCAGGGCGTGTCTGGGTAGAGGAGGCAGTGCAGGGAGCGGAACCTGCAGAGAGATCAGAACCGGGGACGGTCACGGAGCTGCCCGCACTCCCGGGCTGCCCAAGGGCGCAGGCCGCAGGTGACCAGCAGCGGGCCCCACACACATCTGGGGCCAGGAAAGCCCGGGGGACAGGGACTGCCCTGTGCCCTGGAGGAGGCCCAGCAGCACCCCGACCTCTACCCACGAGACGCCCGCAGCACGTCCCCGAGTCGAGCAACTGGACATCACCAAATGTCCCCCGGGGAACAAAGCCACCCCTGGCTGAGCCCCCCAGCTTAGAGAGACTTCAGAACAAGACCCCACTGAGCCCATCCGCCCCACAGACCTGGGCCTTCAGGGCTCCGGCCCCAACCGCAGGAAGCTGCGGATTCTAGAATCCTGAGCTTGGAGCAAACCATTTGTCTTGCAGGGCGGGGGGGTGGGAACCCAGGGCCCCCCCCACGGGTGGGGCAAGTGCTCTGCCGCTGAGCTGCTGCCCAGCCCCGGGACCAACCCTCAAGCCTCTTGGCCTCAGGTACAGCTCCCGCCCCCACCGACGGCCGGAATTTTGAAGTTTTTCCCTGTGTTAAGCCAAACTGTCTCCTTGGAACCCACAACGTGGTCAACACAGCCCCCCAGGACCCTCGGGGTGCTCAGAGCCTCTGCTCCAACCAGGCGGCTCTGGAAACCTGGGGGCCAGGGGCCCTGCTTCCCTGCAAGGGACCGGAATCTAAATCTAAGGTCCAGGCAGAGCCCACAAAGGCCTTGGGAGGTCGCTTGTCACCTCCTTGAGCAAACCAGGCACCGTGTCACCTCTCCTCGCCTCTGCATAGGGCTGCAATGGCTCCCTCTGCTTCCCTGAGCACGTCAAGATCTATCTACTGCCCCTGGGCCTCTGCACATGCCATCCCCTCTGCCCAGGACACCGTGCCATCTCCTGTCCTGGGGACTGCTGCTAACACTTCAGGTACCCCATGCCCCCTCCCCCTCCCTGGACAGCCCACGCCCGTCAACACGGAGGCTGTCTTACTGTCCCCCACAGGACAGTGTCCCAGACGCCTCATTGTCCAGGACTCCCTTGGACAAGTCTCTACCCCTCAGGGGACCCAGGGCCCACACCACCCCTTGCTACCCGTTGCCCCCGAGACCTGCACATCCCTGCAGGCAGGACCCCGCCTCCACAGCTCCCAGCCTCCACATGGCGCTGGCTGGCAGCGGGTGAGTGGGGACAGCAGGACTGCCCGGAGGGAGGAGCTCCCCGCGGCTGGGGGCCTGCAGGCTGCACGGGGTGCCAGGAGGGGGCAGTCCTGCGGCTGGGCTCAGAGGCCACCTGCGCCCCCACCCCTCCCACCCCTCCCACCACCTGAGCCAGCAGCACAAGCCACACACCCCCGGGGGCAGCGGTGGACGGGGAGCCAGGCACTGCCACAGACTGTCCCCTAGACTGCTCCACACTCAAGGGGACCGAGGCAAGCAGCCCCAACCTCCCTGAGGCCTGTTCAGGAAGGTTCTAACCGTCCCAACCCTCCCCTCCCAGAAGAACCGTCTAAGAGGACCAAGAAACAAAGGAGACAACACAACCCCCGCCATGTCTGGGGTTGCAGCACGTGGCCTCCTTCACTCAGGGCCAACAGGACAGTCTTCTGGGGGCTCCTGAGGAACTCTAGGGGATCAGAGCTGGGAGAGTCCTACACAGCCACAATATTCAGTCTCCAAGTGTCACAAGTGAGAGACTGAAGCCCAGAGAGGGCAAGACACTGGCCTAAAGTCACACCGCATAGCAGAGGCAGAAATCTACTCCTTCCATTCAGCTCCCCCACCTCTGGATGCCTGGGCTCAGCACCCCCACCTCCCGTCCCTCAGACCCACCTGGAGGGGTCCTCTTCAGGGGAGAAGGGGCCAGGTAGCTTAATGACATTGAGCTTCCCCTCAAAGACACCATAGCTGAGGGTGACCTGGGCAGAGAGAAGCGGAGTAGTGTTGAGGGGGTGTCGCACCAGGGATCCCACAAGGGGGCAGCATTTTGGCAACAGCAGAGAGGGCCAGAGGGCATTCTGAGAGGCACAGATCCGCCTGCAGCTCCACCGCGGGCAGGGGGTCCTTCTAGAGCCCCCCGTGGGTGGCGCATGCTGGGCCAGGAGCCTGCTGCTCAGCTGCGCCCCAGCTGGGTGGAGCTCAGTCCCCAGGCCTGGGCCCTGCACCGGGTGCTGCACCAACATGGATCAAAAATACACAAAAACCTTGGCATCTGGCCTGAACGTGCACGAGAGCATTCTTCTGACGTTCCCTGACACTCCAGTGCAACACCCACTCACGTACAGGGGAGAGTCGGCAGGTATCAGACGTAATCAGAGATGGCTTATGTATTTTTTTAATTTAACTTTTTCAATACTGGGGATTGAAGGCAGGGACGTTTTACCACTGAGCCACATCCCCAGCCGGTTTTATTCTTTGAGACAGGACCTTGATAAGTTGTTGAGGCTGGTCTCAAACTTGAGATCCTCCTGCCTCAGCCTCCTGCATCACTAGGATTACAGGCGTGCATCACTGCACCTGGTGAGATGACTTAAAGCACTTGGAAGCTGCGCGTGGCGATATGCAAACACGAAGCACCTCCTATAGGGCACTGAGCATCCTGGGACATCAGTATCAAGGGGGTCCTGGAACCAGTGTGTGTGGATACTGCAGGACGATGTGCTGACCGTGTGTGAATACGGTGAGGAGACAGCTGGAGGAGGCCAGCCCTCGGTGGTACCTGGCACAGCAGGTGCTCAGGAAACCCTGACCAGGGAGTGCCCCGCTTCCGGCTGTCCAAAATCTGCCGCTTTCCCAGTTTCGGGTGTGTGGTCCTCATAAGATGAACCTGGGGTTCCCAAGGATGAAGCCACAGCCCAGCTCCTGACCTGGCCAAGCAGCTCCCGGCCCTGGTAGGAGAAGGTCCATGTGACCGGCCCAGGCCATTAGACCAGAAATCAAATCAGCATGGGGTCTGGGAAAGGAGGCACCCTCCTCCCAGGATGGAGTGGAAACCCGGGCTGCCTTCTGCCAGGATGAGGCCAGCGTGGGCAGACAGAGTCCCGGGAACCAGAGGCCAGCTTCCTGTCACCTGTGCAGGCCCTTCCTGCCAGCATTTGGGGACCAGATCAAAGAATCACAGTGTCACAATGCTAACCCTTGAGGAGCAAGTCACTGAGTACCTTTAGGGGGTCCTTTGCCACCCTGGGCCTCAGGATCCCCATCGATAGCCAGGCCCCATAATCTCAAGTTCCAGATTGATGTCAAACACCCCATGTTCCTTTGGGGGACCCTTCTCCCCCACTCATTGCCACCTGCCCCAAGACCCCTCACCTGCTCCAGGAGTTGGGCGGCCCCTAGTAGCTGCAGGGTCTCCAGGTGCGAGTGGAAGAGGGGGCTGGGCCGCAGACGGTTCCCCAGCTTGCACTCCACGATGTAGCCCACGGTACAGTCATCAGGCAGCCGGATGAGGGCAGAGGTGTCCACGAAGTGGGAGCCGCTGGGGGGCAGAGCTGGACTGTAGCACTGGCCAGGCCCTCTGCACTTGACCCCTTCCCAGGAAGCTCTCTGCTGGGCCGGCAGCAGGGCGGAGAGCTCAGGGGTGGAGCTGCCTCTGTCCATGGTGCGACCCTGGGAGTCAGGACCCCGAGCCTCGTCTCCTCTGCTGTGAGCCGGGACGATCACCGTCCTGGCCAGGGCTGTTGGGGGGGCCTCAGTGGTGAAGCCCTTCATGAATGTCTCCTTCCTGCTCTCCCTATCTTTTTGTGGGTTCCCTGCTGAGCTTGGACACCTGCCTGCCCCAGACACAGAGAGGAAGGCCTCTGCCCTCCTCGGCAGCCCCCGTGCTGGGAAGAGAGCTGGTCAGGAGAGCCAGGGAGAGGGTCAATGGGAGCAGGACCAGTGCTGAGTCAGGACACCCAGCCAAGGGGGGAGGGGTGCAGAAGCCCCACCCACACTCCGTCCCGGGCTGGGTCCACAGCCAAGCCTTCAGAACAGAGGAGGGGGAGTTTTCCCTAAATAATCCCAGCAGCTCGGGAGGCTGAGGCAGGAGGATCTCCCAGTTCAAAGCCAGCTTCAGTGATGGTGAGGTGCTAAACAACTCAGTGAGACCCTGTCTCTAAACAAAATAGGGCTGGGGCTGGGGCTCAGTGGTTGAGTGCCCCTGAGTTCAATCAATCAATCACATAAAAGTTCCACAGAGGTGGGACACCCTGGCACAAGGAGGACCCCTGGCAGTTCCGGGTGCACGCCTGCCAGACCTGCCCTAGGACAACAGGCCACTCCCACGCCCACAGATCCCAGCCTGGGACAAGGCGGGCTGTATAGCGGAGAAGCAACCAGGTCTCAGCAGCTCGTACCCCTGAGCCTGGGTGACCTTAGCGGCGCTTACCCTCTAGGGCCTCACCCTCCTCAGTGCAGATACAGGCTACGCCATCAAAAAGGAGAGACCTGGTGTCATCATCCTTTGGTGACACAGAGGCCAAGCTCAGATCCAACCCTCAACCCAAATTCAAGGCCATGAGTGTTAAGACTATCCTGCCCACGAAGACATGTGCACTTCTAGAAGGCCAGCATCCCCCCATCCATACCGAGGGCTTCCAGTGCCCCCTGGTTCCCCTTCTCTGGGGTCCTCTAGTGCTGTCCCAGGTCAATTCCACCTCTTCTAGGAAGTCGTCCCTCTTGTCCTCAACCAAAAGGCCTTCTTGCTCCTCTGAGAGCCCCTACTCTTGGCCTTCACCTCCCTTCTGGCATTGACTGGTCAGAAGAGCGGAAGGAGGCTGCAAACGGGGCCTTGTGATTCCCTGGCTCGGCCAGATGCAGCCCAAACCCTGAGTCTTGGCACCAGTAGTCCCTGTATTTGCAGGTCCACTTGCAGACACGCAAACAGACTTCTCGAGGTGTTCCTGTGTGCAACAGAGGCCACCGGACTGTGCACCCCCTGCAGACAGGGGGGCAGGTAATTTGCTCAGCATGAACTGGGTCACACGGTAACACAAAATGAATGACAGGCAGCTCCTCCTGAGCCCACTCTCAAGCCTTCCTGCCCCTGGGGCATGCCAGTAGCCACCCTTCCCTGCCTTCCAGCCACCCAGGGTCTTGGCTTACCTCGCCCACGGGACCATCCTCAAAGCCAGCTTGCGGTTGATGCAGAAGCCGGCACCCCCTGTGGCGAACCAGAACTGCACCAGTCTCTGGGAAGGAGAGGGCAGAGGGTGCAAGGTGAGTTGGGGACAGGGACACTGAGGCCACGCCTCACTCCAACCCGCGTGGCTCAGAATCTCTCCATGTAACCTTCACGTCTTGCTACAGCCTCGCATTATGAGGCCCATCTCACAGGTAAGGACACCAGGCCCAAAGTCACATAGCTAATTATGAGTGCCGAGGTCACCAAGGACACTGGAATACAGTGGAATCTGACCCCCTCCTCTGAGTAAGGGCTCCACCTTGTGCCAAGAGGGTGGGAGGGGCGGCCAACACCCCACTGCTCCCCAGGTCATGGAAGCACGCAGGCGCCACGGGAATGATTGTGCACAAGGCCACACCCCTTGACCAGTGATTGGCTCTGCAATAGGCACATGACTTAGGCCAGCCAATCAGAGTCCTTCCCTGAGTGCTGTGTGCAATGTACAGTCCTGATGCCACCTCCACCAGGCCACTTCCACTGGCTTCCCCACTCCCAATTCCTGGGGCCAAGAAGAGTTTTTGGCAGAAAATGAAGATGAGGTCTCTCATGGAGTAGAGGGGACAGACAGTCCTGGGAGCCCCTGCCGCCAGCAAACCCCCTGACATCTCATTCACGGGCACCAAGGTGTCCCTTTAGGGCTTAAACTATTTTCTGAGCCCTGACGTCACCACCATCACCTCAGCCCAAGGCCTCTTCCTCCCTCCTCTGTGATGACCCTGAATTCACCATGGATTTCTCTAGAGGCACTTTGCCCTTTCAGCTGTCCCATCCCTTGGTCCAACAAGCTCCCCAAGGATTCCTGCCCCCAAGTCCAAAGGTGGTGCTTAATGGGAGGCACGTCATTTGGGGCGAGTTATCTCCCTCGATGCAGCAGTGAGAAGAGCCCTGGGCAGCAATGAGGAAGCCTGAACCTGAGGTCTCCCTCCTCCCTGCTCAGCTGTGCGACCTCCAGAAAGGCACTGCTCCTCTCTGGGCCTCATGTGAGCACATCTGCTCCAGTTCTGAAATCTGATGGTTCTCCTGGCTCAGAAGCATCCTTCTAAAGACCCCAACTGCCGTTCTTCTAGAATGCGAGAAAGGTCGGGCTCAGCAAGGCAGAATGAGTGGCTCTTGAGGACCTGACACAGGAGGTGCCTGGGTAAACTCTTATTTTTTGTTTTCTAAGTGAACGAGCGTGTGGCCCCCACTCCCGTGTAATGACACAACATGGCAGTAGCCTCATAAGTGCCTGACCCTGAATGCTGCCTGTCCCATGCCCTGTGCCAAGGCTCGTGCCCCAGGTGGGTGAACAAGGCACAGAGAAATGAAGTCACTTGCCTGAGGTCACAGAGTGGGGACTGACCCCAACCAGAGCTCTCGCCCCCTTTGCAGTCCTGCCCTGGAGGACCCAAGATCCGCACAGTCCTGGACACTGTGGAGTTCTGCCCGCTCCAGGGCAGTCCTGGGACCTGCTGGGGGTGCATGCCAACGAGGGCACATGTGAGCCCTGGGGGTGGGCCGAGGTGTGCCCAGCTGGGCACTGCATCTGCAGAGAGAGGACTTGGCTAGGATGTGAACACTGACTAGGACTGATCGCTGACACTCGCCAGTGTCCATTACATTCCAGGTGCCATTCCAAGGACTTTGACAGATGACCCCTTTTTATTCTATGCTCATAACTGCCCTGTGAGTAAGGGCTGTTATCTCCTGCTTCTCAGAGGAGGAAACTGAGGCCCAGAGAGGTTATATGACTTCAATAAGGGTCACAAAGCCAGGCAGTGGCAGGGTTGATGTGTGAACCCCTGGAGTCAAGCTCCACAGTGACTTTCTCAGCCCCTGAGGCAAACAGCTCAAGCCAGATGAGTGTGGGGTGGGAGGGTGTGGGAGCCTGGGGGACCCCTGGACTTACCTGGATTCTCTCACACGCATGGCCTCAAGCCCAGGAGGATTTAATTATGGCTCAGAGGCTGGGGAGCTGCTGATAATTAAGGCTCTGGTTTCCCTAGCGAAGCAGATGGCGACCTGGGGAGGGTGAGGGAGCCCCACAGCGCGCCCAGCTCCGGCTTCAGGCGCTGCCTCTAGGGAGGGGACTTCCTACCTGCCTTTTCCTTGTGGCCAAGGGGACCATTGGGGCCTGGGCACCCCAACACCTATAACCTGGTGGGACTTGGGGACAGGGGAGAGCCATGTGATATTTTTCTTCTAACAGATTCTTCATTATTTATCTGAAAGTCAAGTTTAACTGGGTATCCAGGATTTTTTTTTTGCCCTAAATCTGGCAGCCCTAATCAGTGTCCATTAGGTCTAGGGTCGAAGCTGGTCTGGGCTCCCTACGGTACCAAGTGTGCACTCTAAGTTGCTGGTTAGTGGAAGTTTGGAGAGGAGGGTGCTGAAGGGGGGTCGTGTCTGGGGCCCACAGGATTCCGGCATTTTAACACCCTGCGTGACTGCATGGTGACACCAGGTGGCCACGAGCCCCGCCATGGAGTCAGGAAGCCTCAGTACACCTGGAGCTCACTGTGTGACAGACCAAGCCTCCGCTCTTGGATGACTGGGGACCTACTACCTGCCCTTCTCTAGGCCTCGCCTGCACAACCTCCATCTCCTTCCACAGCGGAGGAGGCTGAGGCTCAAAGAGGAGAAGCCACTGGCCCAAACCCACAGGGACGGAGCCAGACCTGATGCTCAGACCCCGCCAGTGGCCTCCACCACACCTCCGCCCCCAGGTCGGCCGCGCCCCTGGATCAGCCCCGCCCCTGGACTGGCCCCGCCCCGAATCGGCCCCACCCCTGGGGCCAGCAGCCAATGGGCGAAGGAGGAGGGCAGGACACACCGTGCGATTGCGCGGTTGGGGTTCCGAGGCGCGGATGGGCCGGTTCAGGCTGGGCCTGCCCACGTAGACGTCGAGGGCCGCGGGGAAGGCCCTCAGCAGCCGCAGCAGCGCCCATGGGTTCACGTAGTTGTCATCATCCACGTGACAGAACCACCTGTGAGGAGGGACGGGGACAGTGAACTTGGAGGGATAGGGGGCTCCCTGGCCACCACTTGAGGCCCATTTTATGCCAGAAGCACGTGCTGGAGGCTCCTGGGGAAGGCAGGCCGCTTAAGACACGAGGCCCAGGGCAGAGGCTGGTCTGTAGGCTGCCTTTTGCGTGGGAGACGAGGGTTCTTCCACTGGACTCAGGTCACGTCACTGCTTTGACCCAACCCTCAAAGTCACCCCTCCCCCAGAGACCCAGGAGCACTCACCTGAGCCCGCTGGCCAAGAAGGCGTCGAACTCGGCAGCCATCTTGCAGGACAGCGCAGGGTGGCTGTGCTCAGCGGAGCAGTTGGTGACCACAAGGTGGGGCCCTAGAGGAGAAGGAGCCATCAGGGATCCTGCCCAGCGCCTCCCACAGCCCCAAACACTGAATGCAGAGCAAGGCCAGGCCAAGGGAGCCCCCAGGGCCACCCCCTCCCAGCTGACAGTGGGGAAACCAGGCCCAGGGCAGGCTGACCTGGCCAGGACAGTAGGCTGGATTGGACCAAGTGTCCAGGGCCTAGTCCAGCAGCCCCTCCCCACACCTGCACATATTTCCAAGAGGGAAGCCCTCTCCCCTCCTGGGCTAAAGGGAATCCCAAAGGCAAAGGTGGTCAGCCCATTTCCTGGGCAGCCCCGGGCCAGAGCACGGCTGCCCAGCTCTCTCTGGCAATAGCCAAGGGCCCCCACCCAGCCAGCAGTTACCCAGTCTCTCCTGGAGGCCTTCGTCCGGGCTGTCAGTGAAGATGAATGTCTGGGAAGGAGAAGGGGTCAAGACTTGGGTCAGGCCTCGGTGTCCCAGGGCAGACCCAGGCCAACCCAGCACCTGCCATGGCCAAGCCCAGACACCACCCAGGAGAATACACACAGCAGTGACAGACATATGCCCCTCTCATGGCCATGTGTCTCTTTAGGGGACACACACACACACACACACACACACACACACCCCTGCTTCTATAGACACAACCTCCTGGTGCACAGCCCTGTCCCCTTCACAGAGCCATACCCTTGGCAGAATGGCACCCTCTTACATCCCAGGTCACATACACACAACCCTGAGCCCTGTCGGGAAGCAGACTAACACGATCCCACCCTCTCACTCTGGGCACCCACCAGGAGCAGGACCCATGCCTGCCCCAGGCTGGCCCTCTTTTAACCTCATGAGGAAGGGTTTGTGATCTGTCCCCTAAATAGACCAAAAGCAAACTGGGAATGAGAGGCAGAGGGGACCCTCCAGAAGCAGCCGTGAGTGAGAGAGACGCAGGGCCAGGATGCCTCACCCCCCAGGCCCAGCCCAACAGGGGCAGAGCCGCCCGGCAGCCCGAGAGCTCCTTTCTCTACTGAGCACCTCAAAGGCCTGCAAGGACTTCCCGATCCCTGGGCTGCCCTGTGGGGACCAAGGAGAAAATGTCCCACCTGTTCATTCACCCCAGGTACCCCATGCCCCACCGTCCACACCTGAGGCCTACACCTGTCCTCCCTCCAAGAGCAGGGCCCTGGCCCTGAAGGCCCTTCCTTGTCACCCACAGACCTCTAGGAGTCCCTCAGAGCAGTGCAGCCCCACCTTGGGCCTCAGTTTACCCATTGTAAAATGGGAGGCAGTAACAGCTGTGAGACTAAAGTAAGACCGTGTAAAGGAAGGAGTAATAGTTCAACAGGAAGACTTAAGGGAAACAGAGGCAGTGAGGCTAGAGTCCAGGGTTAGGAACAGCGAAAGGTAGGGGGGGGGGGGACAGGGCCTCTCCCAGGGCTCATGGCCACAGACCTACTTCTCAGCCACCATCGTCTCTCAGGGATTGTGGCAAGACTCTGGCCCGTTCACCCAGATCTGTTTTCCTCTCAGGACCAGAATCATATAAAACTCATACCCACCACCCCTTGCCAGCACCTCCCATGGGTTCTCTACTGCCCCTGGGATAAAATTTAGCCTCCAAAGCATGACTAGTGAAGGGACCCCTGACCCTTGCCACCTGATGCAGCCTTATCTCAGTACTTCCTGCTCCACCATGAGGCAGGAATCTCTCTGCCCAAATTTGTTTCGGTTCCCCAAATATGCTGTGTGTGTGTGTGTGTGTGTATGCACACACACACACAACTCTGAGCCTTTGCACATGATGCTCCCTCTTCCCACATTCCAGCTCCCAACTCGGGCATCGCCTCTCCCAGGAAGGCTCGACACCCCTCTGGTGACACTAGGAGCTCCTATGCCCACCCCCCCTCCCCCTTCCTCCCATGGAAACTGCAAATCCCAGGAATGGGGATTTATCCCCTGGTCTCTCCCACCAGAAGCCTGCACCCTGGAGGCTACAGGCCCGACCCATCTGCTTCCTTCTCCAGCACCTGCCTCGCTCTGGAGGCCTGGCAGGTCCACCTTCTGAGCCCCTCTCCCTGGAGGCGGTCTCCCACTATACCAGTAAGCAGCGCGCGGGCGCCCAAGCCCAGGTCCCAGGAAGCATCATCCACAGGAGACGACTCGGGCTCCTCTGCGCCTCCAGCCTGCGCCTGAGCTCCCAGCTTTCACATCCCCTGCAGCCATGACTTCCACAAAAAAATAAAAAAACATGGGACAGGACGCTGTGATCCCAGCAGCTCCGGAGGCAGAGGCAGGAGGCTCGCGAGTTCAAAGCCAGCCTCAGCAACTTAGCAAGGCCCTAGCAACTCAGTGAGACCCTGTCTCTAAATAAAATATAAAAGGACTGGGGATGCGGCTCAGTGGTTAAGTGCCCCGGGTTCAATTTCCAGTACCAAAAACAAAGGCTGGTGTGTGGCTCTGTGGCAGAGGCTTGGCAGCACACACAGGCCCTGGGCTCCATACCCCCCACAAAAACAAAAAAGACCGAGTCCCTGCTGCTCTGCTGGGACCCAGGACTGGGGGCCACCGTGCTGCCCCTCACGTGCAGTCTGTCCACCCCCTCCACACCTTGAATCATCGCTGTTTCAGTATCTCCAAGCCCAGCCCTGGTCCAGCTCATGGGCATGACCTCCTGCGGGCATCTCCCCTGGTCTCCTGCTCTGAATGCCCCCACCCACGTCTGATTGCCACACTGCCCCCAAGGGGTCTGTAACAGAAGCCAGGACTCTTGCCCTGCTCCCTGGCACACCAAGCAGCACACTGGAGAGGACGGACCAAGCGGGTTAGGGACGGCTGGTCGCTGAAGAAGTAGAAAACACAGGCAATCAGGGCGAGGCCTCAGGCGGAGGGATGAACAGGTGGGATGAGCAGGCGTTCTGGGAGCAGGAGAGGGCGCAGGAGCTGGTGGTCCCCGCCCCTGGGAACTCCAAGGCTGGCAGAGGAGAACAGTGGGCAGAATTTCCTCTGAGCCAGAAGCTGTTTGATTTGTTTAACAGGGGACCTGACAATGGTTAAGACTTCACAGGCAGAGAAACAAAAGACCAGCAGCCCACGGGGCAGGGAGGGGCGCAGGGGGACCATCTGCTGCAGGAAGGGAGATGTAGGGTTGCTGCCACCTCCCCGACCCCTACACACACACACACACACACACACACACACACACACACACAGAAAAAGGGGCCTGTGGGGGAGAGAAAGGCTCCCCTCAAGCACAAAACACACAAGGCCCGCCTCCCCCACCCGCCCCTCCGCAGGACAAAGGCTCCCACACAAGCCACAAGGGCCCACCTGCCACCCCACCACCTCTAACCAGCCGGCGCCTAGCGCTGGAGTTGGCCAGCTCAGGCCCCTTCCGGATGCCCCTGTGCTGCGCAGGTGGGGAGGGCCTCGGCCAAGGTCAGAGAGAGAGAGGAACCCAAGGTGAGAGAGAACCGACGTCCAGGGTGGGCCTCTTTCAACTTAAATATGACTTCTGCTCCCCGCTCTGGGGTCCACTGAGTGAGCTCATCCCGGGACTCTGCTTAGCTTGGATCAGCTTCCCCACCTGCCACCTGGGAGCATGGACACCCAGCCCTCAGGTGGTGTGAGGGAAGCAGAGCCATGGGCACAGTGCAGCCCTCAGGAGCTGCCTGATCAGCATCTGGGATAGAGCCTGGGACGGGGCCACTGTAGCCAGGCTGGCACTGCCAGGCACAGCCCCCAGGCTGAAGGTGCAAGGAGAGGTGAGACCTGGGTCCCGCTGGGCTCTGCCCCCTCAGACCCCTGGGTGACACTGGCCAGCACTTCCTCCTCTAGCCTCAGTTTCCTCATCTGGGGGCACCACCATGGTGAACAGGACAAGACAGGAAAGGGCCTCAAGCCACGTGAGGCACACTCCCGGGTCCACAGACACCGCGCCATAAACAGGAAGGTCTGCAGGGAGGGCCAGCCTTGGCGGCTTCCGCAGGCGGAACCAGATCTCCCCAAGATGAGAATCTGGTGGGGCCCAGGGATGCTGGGGGCCCTGCTGGGAAGGGTCAATCCTGGCGCAAAGACATCAGTGCCAGGAAATCGGGGCAGGGGTGTGCCCTCCCTGGGGTCCCTGGCCTCTCAGACCTTACTGTGCCTTTCCTTGGGCTCCCCTCCAAGGGCTCAGTCACTTCCTCCCGCAGAGCAGCCACCACAGTGGGGGTGGTGTGTGTGAATCCACCCTCGGCCTCCCTAGAGACGGTCCCCAACAGCCCCAGATCCCTGGCTTTGCTTGAGGAGAGTACTGACCGCGGGGACAGGACAGGCTGGGAGAGATTCAGATGGTCAGAGGTGCCTCCCCTAAAGGGCACCAGCCACGTGCCCAGGTCACCCACACACCTCTTGTCACTGCATGTCGAACACACTTGGGCTCCGCACATGTGAGCACAAGTGTGTACGCACACACCCCAACCTCTCGCCCTCCCCTGCCTCAGCGACAGCCTCCCAGGACAACCACAGGAAACCAGCGCGAGACACAAGACGCACACATGCGCACACGCCTGAGTGCGCACATGCAGCCGCAGGGGCTGAGGAAGCCCAAAAGGGCGCCTCCAGGAACAGGCCCCACCTAGGGCCTCCCTCCACCCTCCACCCCAGAGCCTGGGCAGAGCAGTTCCTAGGCCGGGGTTGGCACAGGACCCTTGAGAGGGCCTCTGAGTCAGGACCTCTCAGAAGCCGCCACCCCAGTGGCCCAGCACCCTCTATGGTCCCTGCGGCCAGGCTGGGCCAAGGTGGGCAGGAGTGAGGCCCCCGCTGGGGCAGCCAGGGAACAGAGAGAGCCCAGGAGGGACCGGGGGCCTGGGGCAGCTTGGCCACCAACAGAGGATCTGAGGAACTGGACGCCGTGTCAGTGACAGCGTGGGCCGGGAGGAAGGATGGGGCGATGGGCCCCGATGGCTGGACAACAGCAGCTTCTGCTTCAGCCAGCCAGAGATCCCAGCCCAGCGGGAAGACCTCCAGAGTCCCTCAGGCCCCAAACTCCATGGCGCGAACTGGCCCACTCATCACCTGTTGCCTGATCCTGGAGACCCACGTGTCGAGCAGCAGGTCCAGGCGCGAGCGGTGGAAGGCCCGGGTGGTCTTGACGGCGATGAAGATGTCGTGCAGGCGCAGCTCGCGGGGCGCGGGGCTGGGCCGGCTCAGCCTGGGGGGCTGCTGCACTCCCTGGGGGGGCGGGCGTGACTGGTACCGTAGGGACAGAAGCCCCATGCACAGGAGGGTGAGGAGGGCTCCGGCCAGGCCCCGGAGCAGCCGGCACTGCATGGGCACAGCGGCCGGACGGCTCAGCTCCCAAGTCCCAACCAGTCCGGGACCGGAGACTGGTCAGGCGGGGGCCCTGGCAGGGGCACGAGTAGGGCAGGCATCGGGGCGCACAGGGAGCGGGGACGTGGAGCTGGAGCTCCCGCCCCGGCGCCTGAGCCGCGGCTGCCCCACCCGCCGCCACCCTCCACCTGCTCAGCGGCGCTCGCCGGCCCCGGCCGCCGGCCCCGCCCCGCCCGGCCGAGGGGCGGAGCCAGGCCGGGCGCAGAGGTGGCAGAGCGGGACGCAGCCGCCCGGGGGCAGCCCTCGCCCTGCCAGCTGCTGGGGCGGGGGCGGCGGCAAGAGCCAACCGTCCGTGCCCGGTGGGAGGCAGGGGCCCTCCAGCCACGCCACTCCCCAGAGACCGGCCGGCGTGGCTCCAGCAGCGAGCGCCCGTTACTTTCCAGCGTCCCGGCCTCTCCGCTCTGGCTCAGTGTCTCCTGGATGCTCTCCCCATCCCGCGTCCTCACCCGCGTCCTCTCCTCTCCTCCAGGCCAAATTCTGTTTGCGCTTCAAGCTCAGCTCCGGGGGTCCCTCCTCCAGGAACCCTTCCATGGTGGCCCCTCCCAATTCCTGGGACTCCCACAGAAGTTTTCTCAGTTCCTTTGGACTTCACAACTGCATTGGGACACACAGGGTGACATAAGATGATCCAGCCAGTCTGGCCCAGAATTGGGTGGAAGCCTGGTCCCGTGTCCTCATCTGGCCCCGAAAGAGACCCCTGAGGGCACCTATCCAGCCGTGGCCCTCCCCATCACCCTTGGCAGGCTCTACAGCTGCCTCACCCAGCCAGCCCAGCCAACAGGGGCCTCCTCCAGCCACACGTGTGCCTTCCTTGACACTAGGCCATTCACACCTCCTTCCTCTGCCCCAACCCTGCACTGGCTCCCCGTCCCCAAACAAAATCCACAGAGCACATGCCAGCTCAGGCATGGCCAAGCGTGAGCAAAAGCGCCCCAAGAGTGTGGCTAGAGGCAGATTCAGAGGCCACTGCCCAACGGGGAGGGTGGCTGGAGGGACAGGAGGGGGACTCCACCAGAGGCAGCCTGGACTGGCACTGGACACCTCAGGGTCCAACTCCACCCTGGTGACTGGCTGGGGGACCTCAAGCTCCCTCCCAGTCAAGGCCCCCCTGTCCCCTGCCGTCCCAACCTGCACCTACTTTCTAGGGAGGATAGAAAAGCTGAGGCTTCTTAAGCCACAGTTCTGCCGAGCCACACACAGCCCCCTCCCAGCCTGCCATCCCCACATAGGGCATCAGCAGACCCTACGGGGACAAGGGCCACGGCCTGCAGAGGATGTGGCAGTTGCTGGGGGACCCCCGGGCTGGTGAGTACAGGAGCTAGTTCAGGAGCTGGGTATGGCAACCAAACACACTGCTCTGCCCCAGCTCCATCCTGGGAAAGGACATCCTCGCCCTCCCTCCCTCCCTGGCAATCCCCTCGTCCCCCTGGTCCCATTTGGGGCCCTCAACCACCTCCTTCCCTGCGTCCTCTCCTTTTCTCCTCTTGTTCCCACTGAGGAAGGGGCTTGGTCCCTCACTCAGGTGCCCTCGTCCCCTCAGCCTCCTGCTCCCCTGCCCACGCCCTGCCCCCACATCTTCAGCCCAGATCCCTTTTAAGCCCAGGAACATTTTCCCCAGTGGCCAAATATGGGGCCCAGAGCTGCCCCCCGGAGTTTCAAAGAGCCCTCTCCCCTCCTCTAGACCTGGGCACTGTCAGCCCCAGCTGCACCCCCAGCCCCCTTCCCCCAGGGTGGTCACTCTCAACCCATTTTCTGTCCCCAACCGGTCAGTACACCTACTCTCTCCAGATCCTCCAGGGGCCTGACCAAGTTCACTGCTGGGACCCAAGATGGCCGCCTGCACGAAGGCACAGAGGCCCAACAAGTGCCTCTCAACCACAGGAGTCCCAGCCCTCGGTGCCCACAGTGCTGCTCCAGTCAGCCCGGGCTGCCCCCTGGAGGTGACTGGGCACAGCTGCCCCAGGGACCTGACCACACACCCAGGGCCTGCTCCTGCCCTCCCAGACTCAGCAGCTGGACCCCCAGGTCTGCACCCCATGGGCTTCGGTGCCCCAGCTCCAGAGGACACTCCTCTGAAAGGCAGGGCAGGGCTGGGTGCTGGGGTGGCCCGACTGCGGAGCCCTCCGCCCGTCACTTGGGGCAGGTAAGGTGATGCCAGCACAGATGGCCAGCGGCTCTGGGATGAGTCAGGAGGGAAATATGACCCTCCCCACTGGCGAGCGGGGACCTGAAAGGTGGAATCAGCCTGTGCTGGAGGTGAGGACAAAGGCAAAGAGCGGAGAGGGGCCCAGGCCAGGGTACAGGCAGGAGGCCACCAGTCTATGACAGTGTTTAATGTTCCTTAATGTGCAGCTTCTCAGTGACAAGGGCCCAGTGGCGATGCACGGGCTGTACATTCTGTGGCAGAGCAGCCGCCCCTCCCCCAGCCCTCAGAGAGGCGGGCGGGGGCAGGGGGCGGCTGTGAGAACATGGTCCTGGGTGTGCAAGAACACACGTTAGTGCCCAAGTGTCACAGGGGTGGGACATGACATTTACACAGGAGAGAACCAGAGACACATGCAAGGAGACACAAGGGGTACAGTGAGTGGAACGGGGGGGGGGCCACATGTCCATGTGTGGCCACGTCAAGACTGAGCTGGACAGGTTGGAGTCCCGTGGCGGCAGCTCGGCCATCCTGCAAGCTGAGCAGGCTGAGGACCAGATACCCCGTGTTCCTGGGGGAGGGACAGAATCTGCCCGGTGAGAACCTGGCTGTGCAAACCCACGCACAGGGGCAGGACCCAGACTCCAGGCAGGTGTTTACAACACAAGACACACACGAGACCCGCGAGTGGGGACACAGGGACACAGGGACAGACGGGAAGGCCCACAGCAGCAGGTTCAGGGCAGTGGAAGCTCTATCCCCCAGGCTCCCACAGGCTCGGCACAGGTGGTGACAAACTCAGGTCAGAACCCAAAGCCAAGGCCCCTCATCAGAGTCCAGGATCGAGGAAGGCTCAGGATGGAGAGGGCCAAGTCCACCGCAGGCGCGGGGTCCAGCCGCTGGCAGCCTCCGCAAGGTGGGAGGAGGCCCGGACAGTGACGGCCTCAGGCCTCGCTGCTGCTGCTGCCACCGCCACAGCGGCCACTGCCCAGCTCCACCCACACGAGGCGCGCCTGTTCCTGCAGGATGCGGCCACGCACCACCTTGGCCAGCTCCTCGGCGTGGCTCCAGGCGTGCGCAGGCACCTGCGCCCAGGAGCAGGGCAGCCCCCAGAGCACCTGCTCGGAGCCACGACACTGCCGCAGCAGCTCCGAGTCCCGCCAGCCGGGCCGGCCCAGCAGGCCCCTGTCGAGAGAGGATGAAGGACAGTGGTCAGAGGCGCTCCCTCAGTGAACCAGGACCCGAAGAGTCAGAGAAGACGGACAAAGGGAGGCAGACAGAGAGACAGACAGAGGTGGAGACAGAGAGACATCCATGGAGAGGGCACCCCACAACACCGCACCTGACTTCCCGGACATTCTTCTCGGTCACCTCCACGTGGATCACGATGGGGTAGACCTCGCTCTGAACCAGCTCCCGCACGCCCCGCGCACCCAGCTCCAACAGGCAGTGCTTCTTCCCGGTGGAGAGAGACCACGTTTACCAGAGCCCAGGGACACCAGGGCCCCGCTACACCCGCCACCCCAGCACAGCCTCCCAGGTGCACAAACTCCGTCTCACCCAGAGGGACCCTACAAAGAAGGGAGACTGAAGACCTGAGCTCGCTGGTGACCTGGAGGAAGGTCCCCTCCCCACGTGACCTGGGCCACCTCATCTGCAGGTTGGAGTTAACCCCACCTCACCCACCACCCTGGAGCCCTGGCCATCTCCCAGGGTGGCAGAAAGTTCAAGAACAAGGACGAGCAGATGAGATGTCCCAACTCATCACGTTCAGGGTAACCCATATGAGGGCAACGGCCCCAACCCACCCACGTCACAGGTGAGGACACTGAGGATGCAGGAGGTGGCTCCGACGCTAGCTTGTGGGCCCAGGATGGCAGCCCAGCACCTACCTTCCCAACAGACTCCTGGATGGCTCGGATCCTGGTGCCCAGCCCGGGGGTGGCAGGCCGGGACTTAGGGGCCCCCGGCGCTGAGGGTGCACACTGCTCCTCCCCAGAGAGGCTTTCTGCAGAGGGACAGGGACAGGATGTTGCAGGGCCACAGGCCTGGCTGTCCTCCGGGTGGATGAGGATGGGGTAGACTGGCTGTCCTACTGTTCCCTAGCCTCCCCTCCCAGGTCACAGGCTCACCTGCTGGGCACACTTGGAAGTCCAGCCGGGAGCTGGGCAGGTCTAGGAGATTGCGGATGAGCCGGGGCGCCAGGCACTCGGGCAGCAGCACCACAGGCCGGAGGGCGGACACCAGCAGCGGCCGCACCAAGCTGTAGGGTTTGAGGCTCCGCTCGGGCTCTGAGGCAGGACGGGACCCACAAGAGATGAGAGTCCGGGCAGGGTCCCAGCTCTTGCTTCCCTTGACACTCAAAATAACTTCACCTCCTCGGCCACCTTCTGTCTTGCCTTCCTGGGTCCTGCTGCTGCTCCCACAGGTCCCCAGACACACACGCACACGCACACACCTGACACTGCAGGCTGGCCCCTCTTGCTGGGACCATTACAACAGGCTCCCCAGGGATCCTCTGCCTCACCCCTGCCCCCTAGAGGTCACTTTCCACTCAGCAGTCAGAGAGGCTTGGAAAGAATGTAAGTTCACATGACTCCCTGGTTGCCAGGCACCAGTGACTTCCCAGATCCCCAGGGCAAAGGTCACATCCTCTGCACAGGTGACATAGTCCTGCAGGAGAGACTGCAGCCCTGCCTGGCCACTGCCTTCAGACACCTCCAATCCCAGGGCTTCTGCAGGCCCTGTGGCCACCCGAGGCCCTGCCCCTGCACCCAGGTAACCCTCACTGCCCCCAGAGCCCAGGCCACACCTCCCCTGGTCCCTAGATGGGGGGGGGGGTCCCTGTCATGTTTCTACCACACTCTCCTGTGTCACACACGTCATGCTTTCTATCCGTGTCTGCATTGTGAACAGCTGGAAGCATCTGCCTCTCCCCAGACAGGGACCCCATGCAGAGGACCACCATGTCCCCTGGAACCCACACGCCTTA